TATAATTATATGAAGAAGCATAGTTTTCCATCTATTTAACTAAAAATCTCAATCACATGTATAATGAAGTTATGAGACAGGTCAAACGAAACATATGGAGATAACGCATAGTATTCAAGATCAAAAGTCCATGATACATACAAGATAGGAGCAGAGCAAACACAGACCTCCAAAACATCAGAGGTGGGATCAGGTGCCATGGAGGAGTGAGCATCCACCGCTGATCCATCACACCCGCCGTGTTCTCGTTGTCATGATTGTGAAATAACGGAAAGATCCACTGTCAATTCAGTGTATAAATAATGGACCAACAAGTAATATGAAATACAATATTTATGCATTTGTCTGAATCATAAATTGTATTTGCTGACAAGGTCATAACCGTATCGACCATAGATCGTACGAAATGATGACTTCCAAAAAAATACTGATATTCTTGTCTCATCAACTTGTATGTCAATAATTGACCTCGTTTTGAAAAAAAAAAAATTCGGTTCTTGCTCTTGTGTATCGAATCAATTGAGATATATAAACTCCCTTTACAAGTGTTGAAGGTATATTGCTGCTTAAGTAAGAAAAGTTGACGATAGAAAAGTTAGTCATCACAATTATAATAAAGCTTTGTTGATGGATTACCATTAACGTCTTTTTCAAGTAAAATATCCGAATGTGAAACAGATGTGTCAGACTCTGCGGTATCTTTTATCCCAAGCTCACCGGGATATATCGTATCGACATAATCATGTTTAAGATTTTGGACAAAATCTGTTTCATATGAATACAAAAATGGGTCTGCTTACAACAGGGCGCAATTGGTATCCATGAGAAGTCCAACAGATTATAGGAAGATCTGGTCTCCAGAAACAACATAGTTATAGATGAGAAGAAGGGTATGGAGATAACGAACAGTAATCGATGCTGTTAATCAGAAACTCAAGCATCTTTTTGATGTCAACTTCAGAGTACTTGTGTGTACAATCAGAATGTTTTAAACAATGATTTGCAAATGAACAATGACAAGGTTAGTAAATTGATGAGTTCCATTTTTATTAGAAAAAACAGCTGTCATTGATATCAAAAAACTTGGACTTTAATTTATCGTGGAAAAGGTTTGTGTATAAAGTTGAAAATTTTTAATCTGTTGATTTTGGTAAAATCTTGTGATTTCAAATATTCCAAAAGTTCCTCGAAATTTTTGAGAATCCACACCTGATTTACAACATCTCTCGAATATATTGTTTTTTTTCACTTCTGGATTGTTGAATACAGAAGGTTACATGGTTTTCATATTGTCCAAAAACAAAGACTTACTAAGATAGTGCTTAGACCTGCTAATATGGAATGTATTTAAACAATGAAATGCTTTCTTCCGTTGTTAGTACTGGAATGAATCTCGCAGCTGTTGCAGAAAAAATACATAACCCGGGTAAGCGGGTTATGTAAATTTTTTCTTCAATAGCTGTGACATTCATTCCAGTACTAAAAACCAAACAAAGACATCTTAGTGTTTATATTCATATCTGTTAAAATAATCATTAAAAGTAGGATAAAAAAAGATTAATCATTTTATTATTGATACGTATGCCGTAGTACGTTTCATTGATGGAACAGCCACGGATCAAGAAATCTTTACAGGTGATATGCCTAGTGTTGTTCATGCAGTGATTAACGGCAATGGGTTTTCTTAAGAAATACAGGAGAAAATTTCAGTGGATGTAAATATAAAAATGTTAAAAGTTTAAGTATATAATTTGAAGTTTGCATCATTAACAATTTTTTTGATTGTAAAATGGATATTCACATTTCTATATGATGTTTGATGTTAAATGATACAAATGTGACTTATCAAGATATATAAAAAATTATTTTATATTTTTAATGAAAAGAGGTTAAAAAATTAACGTCCTACGTTAAGACCAAACAACTAATACCTCAATGTTGGGGAATGACCCATTTCAGTATTGGACCTGATCAGAGTATTTAAAGTGAAATATATGGAAATAATGAACAACATTCAAGCTCAAAAGTCTATCAATTAATACAAAATTAGAGCAAAGCAAATATGGACCTCCAAAACATCAGAGTTCGGATGGAGGAGTAAGCGTCCCCTGCCCATCGGTCACACCCGCCGTGTGCTCCTTGTCATGATCGGGAAATAACGGGAAAATCCATTGACCATTCAGTGTGGATATAATGGTAAATATAATTAGTATATAAAACGTTAGTCAGCTTTTGACTTAATGATATTTTGTATTTGATGACAAGGCCATTGTATCGACAACAGAACTTACGAAATGATGACTTTAAGCTAGACTGTTGAAATTCTTGTTTCAGCAATGTTTTTGTACTTAATAATGTACATTGCTTTAGAATTTTTTCATACGTAGGGCTTGCTCTCGAGTATCGAATCAACTGATAGTTATAATCACCGTATACAGGTTATGAAAATTAAAGAGATATAATTTAAATAGATTCACAATCCTTTCTATATTCTAAAATTTGTTATTTCATTACATATCACAAACACAATAATAAAAATGTTATGTATTAAAATATATAAATTATTTAAAAAACTGATTAAATCGATAATGAATTATCAATTAACAATAGTTACTTCTATTCATATGTCGACTCTATATATATATAATCCAATGATCTTGAAATAAAAGATACAATAGAATCTTACACATCTGTTTCATATCTCAAATGTTATTTATGTTTTATAAAATAGATCAGGATAATGCAGTAAGCACACTTGATTTTACATAAAGAAAGACAACTCTTACAACTGAATCAGCCTTTCAAAATAAATTAAATGCGTATAATAAACTTATTCAATTGTATATTAAATATACAAAACGATTTGTCCAGGGTTTTTGATATCACTGGCAGCTGCTTTTTCATTAAAAAAGGAACTCGTGTGTTAACTATCTTGTCTTTGGTCATTTGTAATATCATATTCTTTAAAAAGCATTATGATTGTAATTGAAAATAAATCAAAAATAGTTTCTGATTGACAATATCTATGTGGTTTTTGGATACCAGGTTTTGGAGCAATTTATAAAAATTCCCATAGATATCTATTGCTCCCCGTTATTAGCAGACAAATTTTTGTTTTCATATGAAGCAGAATTTGTCCAAATTTTATACGGAAAGAATACATTTTGTTGGGGCCTTCAACTCGATATTAAGCTATTTCGACGACGCATTGTCAATTATCAATTATTATTTCCATTCTTATGTCGATACGATACACGTGAGCTTGAAATAAAAGATTACCCAGAATCTGACACATCTGTTACGTTACATATTTTAGATAGTTTACTTCAAAACGACGCTAATTGCAAACTAACAACCAAGTATTATGATAAAAGTGATGACTTTAACTTTTCCATTGTCAACTTCCCTTACTTATGCAGCAATGTACCTTCATCAACTGCATACGAAGTTTATATCTCTCAGTTGATTCGATATGCTTGTGTATACTCTAGGTATGAACAATTTTTTAAACGAGGTAAATTATTGACAAAAGTTGATGAAACAAAATAATCATCAGTCTCGTTTAACGACGTCATTTCGTTAGGTTTTTATGGTTGATGCAATAACATTGTCAGCAAATACTGTAAAACGAGAAAAATTGGCGCAAACGTATTTTAGGCGCAAATAAATTTTAGCGCTTGCACTTGTCAGTAAAATATATAAATGTGATATTTTGGGGCAGCAAAAACGAACCCCCGTATATCAGTAAACATTCGTTACCTTACGGTGGTACGTGTTGCTAACACGTGGACATTGTACAATGTTAAAATTTATTTTATTTCTATTTTCAATTAAAAGAAATGGAGTATTACTCATTTTAATCACATTAAAACAATGCATGCATCGACAGAAAATTACTTAGATAAAACAATTTTCAGGTATAGCTCAATCGCCATGCTTGATTGCATTGTTTACCTAAATTGATGATTGACACGAGAAGCCCAACTTTGAAGGTGCTAATGATAATAATCGGGTAACAGCAAATTAAATTATAATTTGGCAGAACTTTCTGTCTTCCGAACATGTGCAGTACTAGTGTGTATTTAAATTCCAATGACATTTCGACATTACGTAATCGCGTGTTCCGGTTTACATGTACTTATGTAAAAGCTTTGAACACACACAAAAAATGATATTTAGAAATCCTTTAGCGCACGATAAATCTTAGCGCTCAGGGGCTCTTGCGCCAAAGGCGCTAAAATTAGTAGTGCGCCAAATATTCTCGTTTTACAGTACAATTTTTCATTGAGTCAAATGCTAACGTTTTTCGGGCCATTTTTTACACACTTAATATACAACGGATTTTCGCGTTATTTTCCAATCATGGCAAGGAGAACAAGGCGGGTGTGAGCGGTCGGTAGGGGATGATCCCTCCTCCATGACAACTGATTCCACCTCTGATGTTTTGGTCTGTGTGTGCTCTGTTCTTATTTTGTATAATTTAATGGACTTAAGAACTTGAAATGGTTCGTTGTCTCCATATATTTCATGGACATTACAATGTAGCAGACATGCAGTTCCTTTATGTATTGGAACTTTTAAACTCCAGGTTAAAGGACGATAAAAAGTTCTTACCACATTGCGAATTTCCTTAAAAAGGATGCAAATGAACCAACCCTTTTTCTTTGATTATGTGTGCTCATTTTTTAAAAATGAAAATCGCTTGATAAGAAGAAGGAGGAAAACCTACGGAAACAGACTCCTTTTTCAAGATTTTGTTTTACTGTAGTTCTCCCAGGAGGTCACGCCAGTGAACTATGTAACACTATCTGGATTGCGTGATAGATACATTTGGTGGATTGGAATACACTTATCAATAAATTACATTTTGTAGTCAGCCGATAAACTTTTACAAATGGACATTGTCTGACATCTTTACTGATGGTCTAAATGAAACTATCGTAAGTACTTCCTCTCTATTGTGTAAGCGTTTGTAAGGTTTTCTATTAGAGATGACCAGTACAAGCAATGGCGAGGAACAGTTGTAAGAGACTGCCTATCAGACTGTGTGTTATTTTATCACTATGTACAGCTTTATTGAGAGTGACTGGGGCTAAGACATTCTACAGAGGGTTATATGCCAGAGAGGTGGATACTCTCAGGGACACAGGGATTTTCTATGATGTCATTGGAGAACACAGCAATGTACCATCCGTGTCCTCTTGTTTACTTATTTGTCTCAGAACCAAGACTTGTCTGTCCTTCCATTACAACAAGATAGAGGGGCACTGCAGGCTATATAGTAACATTTTCTTCAGTTCTGACATTAGTCAGAAAGGAAACCGGTACTTCCTAGCTCTGAAAGGTAAAATATAAACGGATCTTTATTTTTGTTTGATTTCATAAAAGTTGTTATAGGTTACAAAAGGCATAATTTTACAGTTGGTATTATGCTATTTTCCTTTGCATAATGTCTGTAGCAGACTGTCAAGAGAATGCTTACATCTATGAGAAATCTCTGGGCCTTTGCTGGAAACCATATTCTGAAAAGTTAAACTACACGGAGGCTGTAGATGCCTGTCTAAACGACCGCGGTCAGCTGCTGAGAATACCCTCCTATCAAACGTGGCAGTACCTCAAAGAAGAGCTAGGTAGAGTAGTAGAGGGGAAGCTTGATTTATCTTTCTAAAATACAAAACTTCTCTCTAGTATCCAATCCTGGTAGCCTGAAGAAGCAAATTTGACAAAAATAAGTGTCTGATAAGTGATGGGTGTTCCTAGCTGCTCTCCCTTTGTACGAGCAACAGTCTATATGTCACTTAAGTTATTTTTATAAATTAAGTTTTGACAGAACGCTTTTGGAATTGTAGCTGAACATCCGATGAGTCTCTTCTGGATAGGGAGTTCTACAAATGGAACTCACTTGATCAATGATGACGACACGGTGGCTGATCTAGTTCCGATCGTTACAGAAGAGTTAGAAGAACTGGATCCTAACGGTCGGGTTATCATTGCCAGGGACCAGGAATTCCTGGGGATTGTTGTCTCATCTTCCTCCAGAAACGGCTTTTTATGTCAAGTGGCCACTAGAACAGAGACCTGAGGTGTGCGCGGTGTTAGATTTACATTATGTTGTAAAATAAACAGTACACTTTAATATATGGAAAGATCTATCAGCCGTTGTCCACGAAACACTGGTTTTGACCTAGGCGTATTTTTTCTAAATAAATTAAGTTTAATTGTTGCATGTACCTACAACTGTTTTCACTTGAATTATTCGCGCCTCAGGCTGTCCGTTGGTTCATTTAAGACAAGTTTATCTTTCTCATTATAAATAACGATATGCATTGTATCGAGTATGGCGATGTATGCAGTCTTAGATATGGGAAATATTTGGCCAGGTAAATTTACATCTATCTTAATCACACTGAGCGTTATCAGTTTACACGGGTACAGTAGAACAGAAATGTTTGCTTAGATCGTCGTATCCAAAGACATTTTGACTTTGCTGTGGTTCGAGCGATCTATAAAAAAATATCAGGTATTACATGGGCGTATTCTAACTGAGGACTTTGCAAAGATTGCCGCAATGTCATCAAAATATGTAAGTACACAGTCTAATTTTGCATTATTATTCTCGTGAGTTCATCGACAATCTTTAATTGAAAACTGTGTTTCTTTGGTTTGTCTCCAGGTGCGCTGGCTCACCAGTTTGGTTGTTCTTGGTTTCACTTCTCATACAGGGTATTGTCAAAACATTAAAGTAGAGTACTTTTCATCAGCGACATTACCATGTGATAACAAAGACCTGAACTTTACAATGAACCCTGGCGGACAGTCGGGGGTGGCCAGTAAGTATTGGATCCTCCCCACCGGAAGTCTAGTTGACAATACTTCAAAATCGGACCTGGTGGAGAAAAATGTGTACCGCTGGACTCTGTCCGAAAATTTCAGCAATTTCAATCTTACAATAAACAGGGTAAATGATGAAGACTTTGGAATGTACATTTGTGTCATTGTTTTTCGCGACAGCACTATTAAGATCGTTCGGCGGGGGCTGAACCTGGACGGAGCAGACTTCAGTAAGCTGGAGGAGAAGTATAAAGAGAACGCCATCATCGGGGGAATTGCAGCAGCTTGTCTGTTTGTGGTGTTCTCAGCAGCCTGTGTGATATGGCAATGTCGGTATAGTTCGCGAGAAAAAAGAACCCAGAAGGAGGGGTTAGAGAAAGGCGACCCGACCGAGAAAGCGTTCGATAATTCTGCCATAGAAGTCGACGAAACAAATCATCTGTGATCATATCAATACAAGAAACAATTTAAATAAACCGCATAATCAGAAATTATTAGAAATAACGTAACATGACCAATGATATATACTTCTTGTGGATTACAGAGTTTTGCTAAGTGTAACATAAACGGAAACAGATCACACAGAAATTCTTGTAGATATTATTCAGAATTTAATGCATAACTGATCATTTCTACTCTCGATCTAGTTTTTACTTTAATATCACTTGTCTTCCTATTATCAATGTATCAATGCTTTACATAAATATAATGTGTAACTCTGTCTACGCATTAATGAGTCCCTATCGCACATGCAGCAATGAAATTCACCCATTAATAGATCAGGGCTATAGTAATTGAGATGTATACATTAGTTTGATAAAATGATTTTTTTACAAACGTAAAACTAGTTGCGTTGATACTCAGACAGTGCGCAAGTAAATGGGGTACCGTTATATACAGCACATTTGTATATTTGTTTATTTAAACGTAAACATAAAACTTGTCTTTACCCCTTAAAGTAGGATTCTTCTCATATTTCTTGTATTTAAAAATCAATGAAATTTTCACAGAATCAAAAAGACAATATCAGTAAGTGATAGTATTAGTGAAATTAAATTTGACCTTTTTATATGAGAGGCAAGGTCAGATCAAGGTCATTATATTTTTCCTTGACATTTAGAATAAAAAATACTGTTGCAAATCATGCGATGCCTACTTCTATTTCAAAAGGTTAAAATAAGTTCTTTTTGCATAAAAATATTACTATATCGGGTCTATAGCATGATCAAAATTTTCATGATAATAGTTTTTTAACAACTGGATTTTGGCTTAATCAATTTTGCTGATTTTTTCTTAATTTTTCACTGTATATATTCAACTTTATTTCATATCCTTCCTACATTTAACTTTTTCTTATTTTCACATATAATAAAGTAGTCTTATAAATGTACAAAATGATACAAACACAAAAAGTTTTGATCGTTTACCAAGAGAGAAAAAATACTCAAAAATGGCTCAAATCTGTACTTTGATTGGAAGCGTATATTAAAAGCTTACATAGTTCTAGTTTGTTTGAAAAATCATATTTATTTTATATATTATGAAAGTTAAGTCCCTTATTATTAATTTAACTTACATTTGAAAATTTCTTCAAGTCTTTTGATTGTATAAAAATTCTAACTACATGTATATTCATTGCTCTGTTATAATTTTGAGAGGCAGAAAAGCAGATATTTTCATACGCCATCATTCCGCCAAAAATATTGTCCATGCTAGTTTTCAAACGCAGTTTACCATTTCTATTTTAAGTTGTACAATTGTGATGAGGAAAGAAAATATGGTCTTTTAAATCCCTTACATCTAATTATATAAGACGTATAAGCAAATATACTTTGAATGTTTCATCTAGTCAGAAACCAGAGAGGAATCCTACCTTAACTGTCATTGAAAATGAGAGGAATGAAGAGAAAGAACTGTGATCGATCTCAGAAACATTATAAACAAAAGAAAACTAGCTAGGACATGAACAGGTGCCCCCTGGAATTAACAAAAGTAAGATCATGTGCCTTTATCCTCTATCCACCGTGAGCTTCATATCCTGGTCAGCTACATTCCGTAGTCAAATTCAAAATAAAAACATTGGTAATAAATTTAAATTAATCGATTCATCCAAAATACAATGATAATCTATATTTACTATCAAGGTCATTTTTAAGAATATGGATTCAACTATAAATTTAACAAAAGAAAAGTCCTACGTTTTTCCCATCTGATTTACACCACTTCTAGAATATGTGCAGAATAGTACGTCTGAACTTTTACTGATATACCGTACAGCACTTAAAATTTTTGTATTAAGAATTTTTGGACAGGATGGAAAGTGAGCACACTTTTTTTTAACCTTGAAAATGTCTCTCTCAATGTGTAAATGTTTTACTGTACTTAATTTTTTCCAGTTTGCATGCATTTAATGTAAATTAAAGTTTATTGAAAGTATATATTCAACGTCACACCAGTTATTCAAACGTATAAATTTCGGTGTTGCATGGGCATCGGTACCAGGGGGAGGAGGGGTTTTAGTCACACAAATGTTTTGCAAAGATATAAATAATATACTAGTAGGCATTTTAAAAAAAATTGGGGCTTACCGGGGGATGACCATTTTCAAGGGGCCAGCGATGCTTTGCTGTCATAAAAAGAGCTGGGATGAAGACTCGATGTATATTCTTCTCAATAAGGGTAAACTAAAAACATGTAAATTAGAACATTTTTCGGAAGGTATATTTATTAAAAATTGATTCTTTCAACTACTAAAAACTAAGTCTAGAATTTTTGGTTTATACATATTTTTGTTCAAAGTGCGTTAAATGTCCACATGGTAAAAAATTGTTGATGAACATTCTTAACGCACTTTGAAAATTTTTTTCAAAGTGCGAATTATTTCCTACCGATGATTTTAACGCACTTTGAAAAAAATTTTCAAAGTGCGTAATTTTTTCAAAGTGCGTTGTCGCAATGGCTTTTATGAAATTTAAGAATCCAGTAAACTGTATATAGGTAAAGTAAATTCATATTTGGTTGACTGGAGTGTTAACCTTAAAAGTTTTAATTTTAAAGAATTTCATTTTTAGAAGGTGAACTGTGAATATGTTGGATTTCCCAAATTAATAAAATAATTTTGATAATGAGCCTGCAATCAAAAACGATAATGATATCATCTTTGCCGATTGGAACCATTATATTGTTTATATAGTCTTTGTAATTCTTTGATCGCCTCCGATTTAGTGAAAATGGAAGAAGAGATGTTTTGCATATTGTTTTCTAAATTTTTTAATATGAATTATCTTCAACATTAACCCCATTCTGAAAAAAGTTCAGACCATTCTTTTGATATTTAGCCCATTAACTCTTGACATAGAACTATTGATCAAAGTGGATTAAATATATTAAATGTATCAGACCTATGTTACAACTGCGTATTAAAAGATTGAGGGGTAATATGAAAAACATCTATCCTTCTGTATTTAATAATCCATAAGTGATAGCAGAATTAAATAGATTACATGATCAGTACGTACTGGTCCTTGTTGAAAAACCAGGTAACAACATTGTCTTCGTTTGTATGGCTCATTATATTAATTGTATTTTAGAAGAACTTGAATTTAATTCTACAAGTGGTACATGTAATCCAACTTATAGTTTTATACTCATAGTTCCATTTCTTAAGAGTAGATTCTTCAAAATCATATGTCAGTTTTGAATAATTTAACATCCCAAAAACAACCAAAACGAATTTGAATTACATGTACCATATCTATATTGGATTCCCAAATTAAAAAAAAATCCTTACAAAGATACATAGAGGGTGCCAGTTAATGTTCAACTCTTTCTTTTACTCCTCCCTAAGATATTAACAGTAGTGAAGGAAAAACTTCAAATATACTGTGCAACAATATACTGTGGTCTCTTCATACCTCGAAAACAACGAAAATTATAAACCCCCACGAAAATTTGTGATTTCACAATATTCGAGAAGTGCTCTAAATCAGATGTTGATACTTAAAAAAATTCAAAGGAACTTTTGAACAATTCGAAATCACGTGATTTTTTTATATATCATTTACAGCTGCTTCTTCAATAAAAAAAACACAATTTTTCAACCTTTACACAACCATTCTCAAAATTAGAGAAAAAAAATATTCTGATGGTGTAAAATTCATTTCGAAGATGAATAAAATATATTTTAAACTAATCATCTATGTGATTTTGGGAAACCAGGCTTTTTTAATTTCATTGAAATTCCTTTTTGGGTAAAAACGGGCCCCGTTATAAGCAGACTTATTTTTGTTATTTGAAGCAGAATTTGTAAAATTATTTTGTTAAAAAACACTTGCTGTGTACACACAACTCGACTTTTAGATATATTGAAGTTGAAATCAGTTAACAATGGTTATTTCCATTCTAGTGTCGATTCGATATATCCCGGTGAGTTTGAGATAAAAGATATCATAGAGTCTGACACATCTGTTCTACTTGTATATTTTATTTGAAAAAAAACGTTAATGGTAATTAACAGACCTTTTTTTTGATAAACGTGATGACTTTAACTTTTCTATCGTCAACTTCTTATATGTGCAGAAATATACACTTGCTGTGGCCTTCAACTCGACATTTTGATATCGACGACGTATTGTCAATTAATATCTTTATCACCTGTACGTATGAACAATTTCTAGAGAGAGGTAAATTATTGACAAACAAGTTGATGAAACAAGAATTTCAGCAATATCGTTTAATGTCTTCATTTCGTAAGTTCTATGGTCGATACCATGGCCTTGTCAGCTAACACAATTTATCATTGAGTCAAATGCTGACTGACGTTTTTCATACTAATTGTTAGTCTATTTTTACACACTGAATAACGACAAATTTTTCCATTATTTTCCAATCACGACAAGAAGCACATGGCGGGTGTGACCGGTCGACAAGGGATCCTCACTCTTCCATGACATCTGATCCCACCTCTGATATTTCAGAGGTTCGTGTTTGCTCTGCTCCTATTTTGTATTGTTTCATGGATTTTTGAGCATTAATAGTGTTCGTTATCTCCATATATTTCATACTACATATAATTATTTAAAACATATACAAGAATGATGCAATTGACAGCATCTGCTATTATGAACAAATTTGTTTTATAATTTTTAAAGATCTCAGTTTTTTCTTAATATATGCTGTAAATTCAGAAACTAAACTGCAAAACTCGTGGCTCAAATTTGTTCAATCTCCTTAGAAAAGTGAATAGGATTTCGCCTTCTGCCAGTGTGGAAGAAAACCTTTCGATTTCCCTTAAGAAATAAAGTCATTGATATCGAACTTTACTACAAGTCTGTGGTAGGAGGAATTATTTCGAAACCTATACATTACATCAGCAGTTTGTTAGAGTATTAAAAGTCACTTTGAAATAAAACTTGCACCCCTTACATTTTCAGTAAGGACTATTACAACTTTAAAAGACTTGTGCCGTTTATAAAGTTTAAAACACAAATATAAAATACACAAGTGACACAGCAGTACCCTCAAGATAATGACTAATTAGGCAGCAATTTATATTCCAAAACGGGAGAGATATCGCAGCAATGCACAAGTGACGCAGCAGTGCTCTCAAGGAATAAATTCTCATGTTATATTGATGATTTTATTGAAAATATGTTAAAAGTATCACAGAAAAGACACTTCCTTCATAAGATCAGAAATCCATTTTCAACACAATCATACAAAGGTACTGAGCATTTTATGGTTACTTCAGTCTCACACTCTTAGAATCAGGATAAAATCTCCATGAAATCAAAGGAAGGTGAATCAGATGAATTTTTGCAGAGTTGCAAGACGGTTTTGAAAAAAAAAAATTGTGTCATAAATATTGAAATAGAAAATATAAAATAACTGGTAAAAATTGGAACGTTCTGTGAAAAAAAAATTTGATTTTTCACAGGATTAGTCAAGGAAATTGAATTTGGCTTGAGTAACTTGACCTGTTTTTTGAATCGTTGCTTTCACTTCCAACTCTGTGCCCCCAAAAATCATTTCACAGGTGACACTTCTGTTACGCCCGCCTGACGTGTCTGGCATTTTCACCTCCATCTCCCCCAGTTTTTTACATCCATCATCGGTGACATAGCCTGGATTTGATTCGGTGCAGGTGTAAATTTGGAAACACATGGATGTTTGATCATCCTCCACTGGCGTATAAGTATTGTCACTTTGAGCCTCTCCAAACCTTAATGTCTGTCCTTTTTCTACATGCTTGGAAAATATGTCAATGCACTTAGTGAGGTTTCCATATTTCTTTTTCTTTTCTGCTGGGTGAATACTTGGATTAAAGTTGACTGTTGTAGCTACACCGTATGTATATTTGGCAATACGAGAGGAAATGGTGGCAGGTTTGTGTCCAAACAACACTGCCCCCTTGAGGACTGCAAGCCCAGCTTCAGGGGGAATAATTACTCTCATATCTGGAAAAGATTGCTTGATCATGTGTTGTAGAATTGGAGACTCAGAAAACCCCCCGACCATTATTATGTTGTTGGTTCCTGAGATCTCGGGTTTATTTAGTAGGTCTCTAACATGATCCACAATTTGATCCCCTGCCACTTCAAACAAGCTCTTGATCACCTCTGCTGTTATTCTGCATTTGTCCCCAACCCATGTAATTTTTCCTGAGAACTTGGTATTCTCTATTGTCTCTTTGATATCCTCTCCCGTATCCTCTTCAAAAGTCTCCACCAAAGATATTGGAATTTTAATGGTGACTTTGCCCTTTGTGTCACCTGTAATGGCACGCTTCTTGGTTTCAAATTCTCTATACATGTCCACATAATCAGCTGTATGTGAGCCGGCAAATTCAAGGATGATGGGGGCTCCAACTATTTTGATCAGCATCTGTTTGTAGGCCTCGTCCACCTGGGTCCCTCCCCAGGCTCCTCCGCTAGCTTTGTACAGCTCCTTTAGGTTGAGGTCGGGTTGTACTTCATGAACCGTGATATCCACTGTTCCTCCTTTAAAATACAGAAGTGATTTAAAACTCCAGAATATATCTCATTCATATTTGAATGGAGAGTCTATTGAACAGTATTTTACAATTGATATCTCAAATCCTGGGATGACTCAAGGTTTTTCTTAGTCCTACCAAGTTTGAGATAAAGAGGTTAACTGTACCTAAAAATGCAGTGAGTTAAGTTTTTTAACACTTGATTGTTCGAGGGATGGTTTCTGATGTGGATAGACTATGACTGGTGTAACATTAATGACAACTAAGTATTACAGAAATAAACCTAAATCATACCTCCACAGTCCAGTACCAGGTATTTGCTTCCTTTGGAAAAGGCCCCAAATCCTTGGACTCCCCCCTCTGACTGTAGCCGCTCTACAGGGAGATGTTTACAGTACAGTGAGGCTGCCTCAGGCTCCAGGGCTATCAGTAACTGGTCCCCGGATATCCCAGCCTAAAGGAAAAATAAAAATCTCATCATCTAAAAAGCAATCCCCAAACCAAAATATTCTAAAAATGATTGTTTTAAACTGTTTTCTAATTTCACCTCTGGCTCTATGATGTAACCATTTTTTTTAAAAACTCAAAGCCCTATTTATAGGTTCTTGTTTGTTTGGGGGGTTTTCCCCTAGCATTTGTATTATTTTCAGTGTTAAGATTCTTTACGTTTGTGTAGTTACCAAAATTAATGTGAGTATTATATTTCATAAAAGAAATTTTTAACAAAATTAACTCTAAAAATTTGAGTTTGTAGACTTTTTGTTGACTTTTCCCTGATGCCATTTATATCTTACCCTCACTGCCGCCTCTCTCATAAACTGTTTGGCAGGATCGTCCCAGATAGCGGGCACAGTCAGGACCCATTGTATATCAGTTTCTCTCACCCCCGTGGCTCGGTTCTCTAGAGTATGTAGTAGGTGACCTCTCAGGAATTTAATGGCCGCTGAAAACACATCCAAGGCCACCATCTCCTTCCCATCTATAGATTTGATTTTGACTGCTTTTGTAAGAGGTTCCTGTGATAAATATGTACAACATCATAGCCTAAATGACGACATACAGTCTGCTAATTACAAACACTCGTCATAAATTCAAAGCTTCTTTATACAAAAATACTAAAAACTTGATGAATATTTCAAAAATTCTAACATCTTGAATTTCTCTTTCTGTATTGACTTATGCCCTGTTCACACGGAGAGTTTAATTTGAATTAAACGTAAGTTTACTGCGAATTAGCTTCGCTTAGCGTTCACACGGAGAATTTAATGCGAATTAGTTTAATTTGAATTAGTTTAATGCGCATTAAATTACTTCGCATTTGCTCCTTGTGAATGCTAAGCGAAGCTAATTCGAATTAAATTTTGACGCATGCGTAAGGCCAGAATTAAACCACAGGACACGTGTTGGTGGTTATATATAGGTATTTGTGCTATATTTGGTTCAAAAATTAAGGGAAAGTATGTTAATCACTAAAATCATTGGATACCTGTAGCCTCTACATGATGTATCAAAGGATAGCTCTGCATACATGACGTGATTTACAAATGACGTCATAATAGACTTACTGACGCCTGACTGCAGAAGAAAATTTTTAATTCGCATTAGTTTACTTTGCATTAGCTGTCGTGTGAACGCAATTTAATTCGCATTAATTTGATTCACATTAGTTTACTTTGCACTAATTTACTGCGAATTAAACTCGTCGTGTGAACAGCGCATTAAAACAGGGTGGTCTTTCAGAATCAAAATAACAGGGGACATTGAAAAGTAGGAGTTTGGGGTTCCTACCCTAACAGGATGTTGATGCCCAGATTGGTATTACCAGAATAACTGGAGGAAATCACATATTTTCGTAAGGTCAAATTTTTGTAATTTGAGGAAAAACTCTTGATCGTGAGGATTTGATTTCGTGGATGTAGAATCTTTGATTGTTGTTAATATGTATGTCACATTTTATATTTCGTGGTGGACATGAATTTGTGGGTCTCTTCACACCACAAAAACTACGAAAATTAAACACCCAGGAAAATTTGTGACTTCACAGTTAATACAAAAATTTCTCAGCCCCCAGATCTTATGGACAATCCTTACTTAAAATAATTTTCACAGATTGCGAGATGAACTTGCCTCTTGGTTAAAGAGTGACATCTTGAACCTCTTGAAGTAATACCAGTCCTCATGCTCCTCTTCCTCAGCCAGTTCTGAATATTTATCCTCAGCTTCATAACCAAACGAGTCGAACACTTTGTCTTTATTGAACAGAACACATGTGGGGGTCTTTAGGGACACCAGACTCCTCGAGCCCGCTGTCCAGTTGTTGGAGCTGACCTTCAAAGGGTCGTTCTCGTATTCATGTTTAAAAGAAAATGCATAACCGCTGTAGGTGGTACCAAAGTCAATGGCTGCCACCAGCAGCTTACTGGTAGAGGACATGTTCTCTATGTCCCAAGTCTGTAAATAAACCAGAAGTCTCTGTCGAGACTGAAGCTCTACTGGTTTGTACTTATAGCAAAGGAAGAGAAAAGTTCTTAAGAAGTTGGGAATTGAAACTTTACCACAGCAATAAATAGAATAATGATCCTTGATTAAGTCTCTTTATGTTCTTAGTATAGTCTACTTGCATGCCACATTATATTAAAATCAGACCAAAACTGTAGGAGGAGTAGCATTTTGAGATTTTTTAACAGAAATTTCTATTTTTAGTTACCATGGCAACACCGTTCATCGAAATCAAAAACCAATATACAGAATTACGTATCTTACTTTAGTCTACTTGTGTGCCAAGTTATATTGAAATCAGACCAAAACTGTAGGAGGAGTAGCATTTTGAAAGAATTTCACAGAAATTTCTATTTTTAGTAACCACAGCAACACCGTTCATCGAAATCAAAAACCGATAAAAAGAATTATGTACCTTAGTGTAGTCTACTTGTGTGCCAAGTTATATTGAAATCAGACTAAAACTGTAGAAGGAGTAGCATTTTGAAAGAATTTCACAGAAATTTCTATTTTTAGTAACCACGGAACACCATTCATCAAAATCAAAAACTGATAAAGAGAATTATGTATCTTAGTGTAGTCTACTTGTGTGCAAAGTTATATTGAAATCAGACTAAAACTGTAGAAGGAGTAGCATTTTGAAAGAATTTCACAGAAATTTCTATTTTTAGTAACCACGGCAACACCGTTCATCGAAATTAAAAACCGATACACAGAATTGTGTATCTTAGTGTAGTCTACTTGTGTGCCAAGTTATATTGAAATCAGACTAAAACTGTAGAAGGAGTGGCATTTTGAAAGAATTTCACAGAAATTTCTATTTTTAGTAACCACGGAACACCGTTCATCAAAATCAAAAACTGATAAACAGAATTATGTATCTTATTGTAGTCTACTTGTGTGCCAAGTTATATTGAAATCAGACTAAAACTGTAGAAGGAGTAGCATTTTGAAAGAATTTCACAGAAATTTCTATTTTTACTAACCACGGCAACATCGTTCATCGAAATCAAAAACCGATATACAGAATTATGTATCTTAGTGTAGTCTACTTGTGTGCCAAGTTATATTGAAATCAGACTAAAACTGTAGGAGGAGTAGCATTTTGAAAGAATTTCACAGAAATTTCTATTTTTTGTAACCACAGCAACACCGTTCATCGAAATCAAAAACCGATACAAAGAATTATGTATCTTAGTGTAGTCTACTTGTGTGCCAAGTTATATTGAAATCAGACTAAAACTGTAGAAGGAGTAGCATTTTGAAAGAATTTCACAGAAATTTCTATTTTTAGTAACCACGGCAACACCGTTCATCAAAATCAAAAACTGATAAACAGAATTATGTATCTTAGTGTAGTCTACTTGTGTGCCAAGTTATATTGAAATCAGACTAAAACTGTAGAAGGAGTAGCATTTTGAAAGAATTTCACAGAAATTTCTATTTTTAGTAACCACGGCAACACCGTTCATCGAAATCAAAAACCGATATATAGAATTGTGTATCTTAGTGTAGTCTACTTGTGTGCCAAGTTATACTGAAATCAGACTAAAACTGTACGAGGAGTAGCATTTTGAAAGAATTTCACAGAAATTTCTATTTTTAGTAACCACGGCAACACCGTTCATCAAAATCAAAAACCGATACATAGAATTATGTATCTTAGTGTAGTCTACTTGTGTGCCAAGTTATATTGAAATCAGACTAAAACTGTAGGAGGAGTAGCATTTTGAAAGAATTTCACAGAAATTTCTATTTTTAGTAACCACGGCAACACCGTTCATCGAAATCAAAAACCGATACAAAGAATTATGTATCTTAGTGTAGTCTACTTGTGTGCCAAGTTATATTGAAATCAGACCAAAACTGTAGGAGGAGTAGCATTTTGAAAAATTGTTTACAGACAGACAGACAGACAGACAGACAGACAGACGGACGGACAGACAGACAGACAGACAGACAGACGGACGGACGACGGACGCATTACTATCGCATAAGCTCTTCTGGTCTCTGACCAGTAGAGCTAAAAAATTGCATACACTAAGGTTTGCTTTCTTTTAGATTGTGCCTGGTCAGTACTGTGTGTGATATACAATATCTTGAGACTTCATATTTTAATATTTGTCACAAATGCACGTACACATTAAACAGGTCCAGGAAAATCACTATATTTAGATATATAGGTAAATCTACCTATATAGCTTTATTTACCTATATAATATAGCTTTATTTAGCTATTCCAGAGTAAATTTCTGTTTTATGAAAAGCAGACAAAAAATCGCATAATCATGATAATGAGGCAGTATTAGTTTTCAACTTTGAAAGGGACTGTAAACAATTCACCAAAAACCCACTTATAAAAATGTTTCTCCTTTTGTGCAATTGCAATCAAAGATCTAAAAGTTTTGGGGCTATGTACATGTATAACAGTTAATATGTAAGTAAGCAACTACTTTAACAAAGACAAGCAGTTTTGGTCAACAAGATAATTGATTGGTAATAATTAAGCACAATGCAAGGCAATCACACTTAGTCATGCCTCACCGCACTTCCAGCTATCAAAACAATAGAGATGTATTTTTTGGTTAAAAAGTGTTTATAAGGGGCAATGTTTTTACTATCTATGCCCTTGGTTGTTTTTATCAAACCTTTTAAAAAATATATCAGCCATAACTTACATGCGACTTTTTGTCTGCTTTTCATAAAACAGAAACTTATTCTAAAATAGCTAAATATAGCTATATTATATAGGTAAATAAAGCTATATAGGTAGATTTACCTATATAGCTAAATATAGTGATTTTCCTGGACCTGTTAAACATGTTAAATATGAATTAGAAATCCATGTTAATTCATAAAACATTTAGATAAGTTAAGTACAATGTGTCTATTGCTTCTGGTATAGATATACATGTACACTCCCAATACACTCGTCATTTCCCTGAACATATTTGATACGGTGATACATACATGTATTATATCAATAATGGTGCGATGATCAATCACATAAATATATACCCTTGACAATCTATTTTGACTTTTAAACAATTTTTCAAATGAATTATTTAAAAAATTAACGACTGTGCAAATTTAGTTTCCATTGAATCCTATCAAAAACTTAAAACGAAAGTAGACATTTCAGGCTGGTGACATGCTTTCATGTTAGTACGTTTCCCATCCATATTTTCTTACAAGATGTATTTAAATATAGCGAGAAATATAGCTATTTATAAAATAAATCATACAGGTGGCATTACCTTCGTATTAACAAAATCAAAAGTGTGTATCCCATTTGTCCACTGGAACTGTCGCCATATTTCTTCCTAAATGGAGAGGGTATCCTAATCTATAAATAGAATATAGGGGCCGATAACTTGGAACTTATGAATGAATATTTTAACAGTTCAAGCATGTATCAGAATTTTTACTAACCTTTTGTTGAGCTCTTATATGCTTTTAGAGGAAAAGGGAAAAATATAAGAGTGAAAACTGTCGTATTATTAAATCAGGCTAAAAGACTTTAATCTTTATTCAAGTCGAAAACTGTGAGTGTACTCAGGAAGGGGTGGATCAAGCATTTCAATGCACTTATATTGATAGTTATTTTGTTAAATAAAGACTTTTAAAGGACCAACACAAAGCAATGCGTATATAAAAGTTACAGTTCTGTGCATTATATCATCATGGATATTAAAATGAATAATTATCAATCGGTTTATAGCCAATAGGCCTATATATAGCATTACATATACATTATATATATAGATTAAAAGTCTACAAAACTGGAGCAGAGCAAACACGGACCTCCAAAACATCAGAGGTGGGATCAGATGCCATGGATAAGTGAGCATCACCCGCCGTGTGCTCCTTGTCATAATCGGGAAATAACGTAAAAATCCGTCGGCAATTCAGTGTATAAATAATGGACTAACAATTAGTATGAAAAACATCAGTCAGCATTTGACTTAATGATATATTTTATTTGCTGACAAGGTCATTGTATAGACCATAGAACGTACGAAATGATGACCTTAAGCGGGACTGCTGATACCTAGTGTCAGTGTCTGTACCCAGTATCTTTTATTTCTAGTTCAAATGAATGTATTGAATTTACATATGAATGGAAGTAAATATTCTTTTAAAAATTATTATTAATTGATAGTTAACTCATTGTTGAGCTTAAGATTACAGCAATTTAATTTTATCTTCTCGTGTATAAATTATGTTTTCAAAAAAATTGTCGTGGAGGAGTGAGCCGACGGGTCAAACACGTCGTGTGCTCATTCAGTCATTTTCATAATTGGGAAATAATCAAAAAAATCCGTCGACAATTCAGTGTGTAAATTAATGATAGATTGTATTTCCTGACAAGGTCATTCATCAGATAGACCATAACTTACGAAATGATGATTTTGAACAAGACTGCGGACATTCTTGTTTTATCAACTTATTTGCCAATAACTTACCCGATTTTAGACATTGTTCATTACGTAGTGTATGCTCTTGCGTTTTGAACTGACTGAGAGATATAAACCCCGTTTGCAGGCGAAGAAGGTACTTGTATACTGCTGCATAAGTAAGAGAAGTTGAGATTGAAAAGTTAAAATCATCACGTTTAACTATTAACGTCTATTTCCAGTAAAAATATCAAAATTTGAAACAGGTGTGTCAGACTCTATATTATCTTTCATTTCAAGCTTAATTTTGGATTTGCTACTTGTGTACAATCAGAAGGATTTTTAACAAAATAATTTTCAAATGATTAATGACAAGGTAAAAAGCAGATACTACCTACGATGTCAAAAAGTCTCAGCTTTAATTTATCGTAGGCAATGGTTGCAAAAGCGTTCACAAGTCGTACATTTTAGATATTTAAGATATTTTAGTCGGTTTAAGAGCTCTAAAGAGGTCATGTTTTTTGTTATGCAAAGTACAAAATGCCGACTTTAAATAAAATTTACTTTAGATATTTAACATTGAATTTGGTATTTGCGATTTAACTAAAAAAAATCCTCAGAGTTTTTAGGTATCAACGTATGATTAACACTACTTAAAATATTTTTGAGCAGTACTCCGGATGTTTCTCCTTCACTGCTGTGTGAAAGAACATATGGAATTGTCTATATGTATCTTTGTTTACATTGATTTAGAGGCCTTCTTAGTTAAGCAAGCATATTTAACAAACAAATAATTAGCTGGAAAAATACATCTTTTTCTTCTTTTTTTTATCAGAACACAAAGAATGACACAATCTGTATCAACACCGGCGAAGTTGTTGGTTGCTGCAATAGATTTTGGAACAACTTTTTCTGGATACGCTTTCGCTTTTCGAAATGACTATGTCAAGGATCCTCTCAAAATCCACGGTAACCAATGGACAATCGGTTCTCAAGCCGGGGTGTCCCTCAAAACCTCGACCTGTGCTCTGTTTAACCCACAGGGTGAGTTCGATTCTTTTGGGACACAGGCCGAGGACAGATACGGTGACTTGGCTCTCGAGGAAAATCATCACGACTGGTACTACTTCCGGCGCTTTAAAATGATCCTCTACAATAATCAGGTAAATATCGTCACCCAATGCTGCATTCTCTTGGGGATACGTATACCCTTTCTAAATTCATAATATTCCTCTGGTGAACTCATGGTCAATATTCTTACCCTAACAATAAAAAAGAATACAATAGAGTATAGGTGATTTCCTCATATTTTTTAAAAATTTATATGTGTAAATACATCTACAATAAGCTAAATGCCAACATTCCAGACCGTAGCTCGGGATCTGGCGATGGAAGACGATAAAGGCAACACACTTCCGGCCATGAAAGTATTCGCAGCCTGTATAAAGTACCTCCGCGAACACATGATGGACGCCTGCAGCACTAGGCGGGTGGACATTGAAGATGACGAAATACAGTGGGTCCTGACGGTGCCTGCCATCTGGACGGATAGCGCCAAACAGTTCATGAGAGAGGCTGCGACGAGGGTAAGTTATATATAGATATATAAATAATATCACAGAACTAATGTGACATTTATTATACATTTTAATTTTTTTTCTAATTATTGTATCAATTCCTTGTATGGTAAAACATTGAATATTCATTCAATATGTTAGGCTGGTATTCGTAGTGATCTCCTGGTCATTGCACTGGAACCAGAGGCTGCGTCTATTTATTGCAAACACCTGCCAGTTAACAAGATAGAAGGCGACAACAAGAAGAGTTTGGACTCTTTCTCCCCAGGAACAAAATACCTTGTTTTAGATGCTGGAGGTAATCTCCTTTTGATAAAATAAAGTTTTCACTTAAAATTTTAGTCCTACGGCATTGATTATAACATCTATGAACATTTTAAATATAGGTGGTACAATTGATATAACCGTGCAAGAGGTTCAACCAGGCGGTCTCCTACGGGAAGTTTACAAAGCCAACGGCGGCGATTGGGGTGGTACAAAGGTGGACGAGGCGTTCATGGATTTTCTAAAAGACATTGTCGGAGAGAGTGTTATAGAGCGATTCAAAGAAGAACATCGATGTGACTACGTGGAACTCTGTCGTGACTTCGAGATCAAGAAAAGAACAATTACACCAGACATGGACCAGAAAGTCACATTCAAAATTCCAATAGCTATCAACGAGCTTTACCAAGAGATGAAAGGAACATCTATAAGGAACTCCACTTCCGGTGGAAACAAATATGGAAGCCGTATTGCCTGGATAGGGGACAAACTGAGGGTAGACTCAGAGATAGCGAAAGATTTATTCAAGGTTACATGTGCCTCCATTGTGGAGCATGTTTACATGATTTTCCAACAAGAAGAGGTAGATAATACAGAAACCATTCTGATGGTTGGTGGATTTTCGGAGTCTCCAATGCTGCGTTCAGCAGTCAAAGAAAGATTTCCTGAGAAGAGAGTGATTATTCCACAAGAAGCCGGGCTGTCAGTCTTGAAAGGCGCGGTGATATTTGGATTCAATACCACAGTTATTGCCTCAAGAATCTGCAGGTACACGTATGGAATAAGTGTATACGATGATTTTAGAAGCGGAGTAGATCCAGAAGACAAGTTGATCACAATAGAAGATAGAACGTTTTGTAAGGACAGATTTAGCAAACACGCCGAGGCGGGGCAGTCTATGGACGTAGGAGAGGCAACAGAGGAGAAAACCTACCGCCCGACACGACCCGATCAGACTCAAATCACTTTAAAAGTTTACGTCACGGAGGACCGTGACCCTGTCTATACTGATGATCCCGGATGTACTTGTCTGGGACCGAGCCTAACTGTTGACATTCCAGACACTACAGGTGGACTGAAGAGGAAAATCGGCGTCAAGCTCATTTTTGGTGGGACAGAGCTCTCCGTGGAGGCAAGAATAATGAAAACTGGAGAAACTACCAGTGCCTCTTTGGACTTTCTGAACCACGAGATGTAGTACCGTCCCATTCATATACAAACATGTGCTAACAGTGAACAAGCTGCACGAATAATATGTAATTGATTAATATTTTATAAAGTAATTATTGTCTTTTCCTATGACAAATGTTTATTTTATACATGTATCGCATATTTGGACAGTGAATAAGGATAAAAGCTATCAAAATATCATTAATTCACTCAATTTTCGTAATCCATCATCTTCATATAAGACATACTTAATTTTATTTTTGTCTTCCAATGCTCAAGAGGGATTCTGCAGCTAGTTTTTGCTTAGTTTACTAAAGATTTACTCAAACACATTCACACAGATTAATAATGACATTTATCAAAATTACGCTATCAAAGAAAATACTTTAAACGAAAGCAGAGGGGCCATACTCACAAGCTTAGATTGAAAGATACACAAACTAGAAAAATTACCCAGTGACCCCCAGTGCATATTAAAGCTGAACACGATTCGTAAAAGGAATGTGTCCGACATTTTTGTTCGGAGAATCGCTATGCCTGCAGAGCTCTATATAAACATGATAAAGGGCAGGACTTATTTTCTTTTCAGTGTAATCAGTCGACACCGGCGTGGACGGACGTACGCTATACAGTATTCGGTAGCCACAATAATTACCTAATACTTCGTCTAATGCAGCAAAGTAATATGCCAAAGAATCTTACAATTACAGTAAAATGATATTGTCCTTCGGACCCGGTAACGTGAGGGCTTGTACCGAGCAGTATACAAACACAGATAGACGTAACTGCAATAAAATGTAAACAAAGGTAAATTAATGCAAGATAACCAGCTCGAACATGGGTCGCCATTCCACACCAATACCCGTGACAATAAAGCAGTAAGGTGTGACGTATCTGAAGAGTATACCCTAGTGATGATGTATCGTAGATAATGACTATTTACCAGTAGTGTTCAGCTTTTATCGTGTAATCTAACTACTTCTTTTTTCACTTCAGAATTATTCAATTTTAAACATGTACTGAAAGGAAAAAGAAACGCAGGGTAGCATAATACTAGTATTCGAAAATTTGTTGACCGCTTGACCAAAAATTATGAAAATTGGTCAGATGAGAAAATTTGTTACTATGCACCAAAATTAGTGTTCAGAACTACTCAACCGTTAAATGTATGGCGTAACATAGGGAAAACGGTTAAAAGTCCAAAACACTTTGATGACGACGAGTTTGTCAACAAATCTTGTTGCACCATTTGATGCACCTAAGGTATACACATTGTTTTTCAATATTTAGAGACGATATGAATTTCTTGCAATCTTGGCACAGTTTACGGAAATTCCATGGGGCCTGGTTTTTTAATTGCCTAATGAATGAAAAAAAGCATCAACGGGTAACTAAGCAGTTTCTTGTAAATTTTCCCCCATAAAACTTGTTACCTGTTGTCAGAGAGGGCATGGAATGGTTTTCAATCAAACGTGACGATGACGTTAACGTAAAACAGAGTCATGTTACGAGCAGGTTATTCGTCCTTCCATCTTTTAAATCACCACCTTACTGCCCTCAAAACCGCTATTTATACAGTAGACTATTATAATCATTATATTCACATGAAAAATGAAAGAAAACAATTCCGCAATTTGGTTTTCTAAGCCAGTCAACTTACTATTGTCTTCCTCTCACTGGCGCATGCGCGCGTCGTATGACCAATTTTTTGGTGTAGTTACCCATGCCCAACATAGCCAGAGATTTAAAGATAAACACTCTGATGAATTCCATGCAAAGGAGAAATAAGGCTCATGACAGATACGCAGGAGAGACAATGAAGATAATTCGTTTTCGATTTTCACTTTTTGGGGGTATCGTCATATGAGCTTCAATAACTCATTAATTGTTAAACAAAATCAAGTGGGATTTTGGTTATATTTTTTTGAAAGATGATTTTAAAAGTTAGATAGGAATACTGAAAAAAAAATTAAAAGAAAAATAAATTTAATTCACCTCTAAAGTTTACCCTGCGTTTCTTTTTCTTCTCAGTATATTAAAGTAGATGGTTTTCATATAGCCCCTCAATCGCATAATGCAAGATTTTAACATACACCTGATATATTTATTTCGTTCTGAAATCGTTTCATGGTCTTCTTTACCATATCTGGCCCATCGCATGGCGTAGTCTTCCACACAGTATATAATATTTCTGAAATTAAGATGCAAGTTAAAATACCGTGGTTCCCTAAATTTTGGCCCTTTTAAAATGAAATATATGGATATAACGAACAGTATTCAAGATCAAATATCCATAAAACAGTAACAACAAAGGAGCAGAGCAAACACGACCTTTCAAAACATCAGAGGTGGGATCAGGTGCCATGGAGAGTGAGGTGAGCATCCCCCGCTACCGATTTAGGGTCTGCATTATATACTATGGCACCAGTAAAAGTGTTCAGCATGACTATACTTGCACGGTGAAGAAGAACATGTACAGGAAGGAGGCATATGTTTCAGATATTCAATATCTAGGCTTTGTAAAATCTTGTAATTATAAAGTTTGGAAGCAATAGTTGATGTTTATTTGTAGGAAATACAAAAATTTTTATTCAATTTATGGCAAGCCTAGCTCTCTTTCACGTTTTCTTATCGCGAAAATGTCGCTAATATTTCAAGACAATAACCATGTACGTGATATAACCAGTAGTAATATGAGAAATTAAAACAGCCAATAAAGAAAATATCATGTCTTAAAGTTGAATCCTTTCATCTGAAGACAGACTTAAAAATTACGTCAGTAAAAGCGAAAAAGCAGCTATTTGACTATTATTAATAATTGCGAAATGCAAACCAAAGTGTTGATTTCTGTGAAACGTATGGAGAAAACGAACAGTATTCAAATCAAAAGTCCATAAAACAATACAAAATAGGTGCAGAGCAAACACGGACCTCCAAAACATCAGAGGCGGGATCAGGTGCAATTGAGAAGTGAACATCCCCTGCCGACCGGTCACTCCCACCAAATGCTCCTTGTACTGATCGGGAAATAACGGAAAAATCCGTCATCAATTCAGTGTATCAATAAAAAAACTAACAATTAGTATAATAAGCGTCATTCAGCATTTGACTCAATGATAAATTGAATTTGCTGACAAACTCATTGTATTGACCATAGAAATTATGAAATGATGACTTTAAACGAGATTGCTGATATTCTTGTTTCATCAACTTGTTTGTCAATAATTTACCTCGTTTTAGGTATTGTTATATCGAATCAACTGAGAGATATATTCTCTGTATGGAGGCATTGAATGTATATTACTGCATAAGTCTGGGATCGAAATTGACGATTGAAAAGTTAAAGTCATCAAGTCCATCACAGAGCTTGGTCGTTAGATTACCATTAAAGGCTTTTTTCAAGTAAAATATCCAAACATGAGACAGGTGTTTTAGATTCTGTGGTATCTTTTTAAGAATGATATGAACCATTGTTAACTAACATTACATCATCTTTATATTTAATAGTCGAGTTGAAGGCCACAGCAAGTGTTTTCTTTTTTCACGTATAATATTTTTGGAAAAATTCTGCTTCAAATGAATACAAAAATAGGTCTGCTAATAACGGGACCCATTGGGTAATCATTGGAATTCCAATAGATTGTTTGAAGAACAGGTCTCCAAAAGCCACATAGAGATATTGTCAATCAGAAACCCAAGCATCTTCTTTAAGTCAACTTCAGAGTACTTGACGGTATAATCAGAATGGTTTTTAACAAAATAATTTTGCAAATGACTAATGACCAGGTAAGTGCACGTGAATTTTTTAGGTCTATTTTAATTTTAAAAAGCAGCTGTCAATGATATCAGAAAGCCTGGACTCGTGGATAATCGTGGGGAATGGTTGTACATGAAGTTAAGAATTCATAGCTTTTTAAGCTGTTGATTTTGATAAAATCTAGTGATTTCAAATAATTTTTCAATTTTTTTAAAGGATTTTTAAGTATCTACATCTGATTAATACCACATCTCGAATTGGTATTGCACAATATTCTTAAAGTTTCTCATTCACCACTATTAATATCTTAGTGAGGAGTAAAGAAAGAGGTTTGGTTGAACATTTACTAGAACCCGCTATGTATTTTTGTTTGTAAGGATTTTTATGAAGTTTCGGAATCCAATATAGATATGGTACTACAGTAATTCAAATTTATTTTGGTTGTTTTGAATATTAAATTATTTAAAATTGACATGTGATGTTAAAGAATTTCTTCCTTAGAAAGGGAACTATGAGTATAAGTTGCATTAACACTTGTAGAATTAAATCGAAGTTCTTCTAAAATACAATTTATATAATGAGCCTTACAAACGAAGACGGTGTTGTTACCTGCTTTGTCAGCAGGGACCAGTACGTACTGATCATGTAATCAATCTATTTTTTTTCACTTCTGGATTTTCGAATAAAGAGGGATACATGGTTTTCATGTTCCTTTTTCAATTTTTTAATACGCAATTTTAACATAGACCAGATACATTTAATCCATTCTGATACCCCTTCTGAAAGGTACAAAAATCTACAGATATCTCATAAAGATACATGACAAATCAGCACTACCATTGTTTATATTTAGAGATTCTGTTTATTTATTTGGAGGCAACTTTCTCAACCATTACTTTGTGCGGCTTAATTTTTTAAATGTGTGTTGCATTGCGAACCACAACCATATTATAGTGTAATGTTCCTTTAAATATAAGAAATCAATTGTCAAAGTATGGTTTTGGTTCATAATGCAACACGTTGTGTACTAGAAGGCTTTAACAACATAACCCTCCGATATTTTCCAATATACTAAATGTTAATATGGTTGAGGGTACCATGCTTTGATCGTCAATTCAAATATTATCTTAACCCTTTTAAAATACAAAACACAAAAAAAAAAAGAAATTATATTGAAAATAATTAAAGTAAATTTAAAATTGTGGGCAATCCAATTTCATTTTTCGCATAGGTTAAAAACAGCCTTATCGAAACATCTTCCGATGTCAATGAAAGGATCGTGCTCCTTGTATTTAAGACCTTTTAAAATAAGTTATCTGAGGTCTTCATTATCAACTATGTTAACGTCACCAGGCTTTATGATAAAGGTAATGACTTTAACTTTTCTATCGTCACGTTACCTTACTTATGCAGCAATATAACCTCATCATCTGCATACGGAGTTGATGTATCTCGATATGCAAGAACAAAATCTACGTATGAAAAATTTCTAAAACGAGGAAAATTATTGACAAGCAAGTTGATGAAACAAGAATATCAGCAGTCTCGTTTAAAGTCATCATTTCGTAAGTTCTATGGTCGATACAATGACCTTGTCAGCAAATACAATTTATCATTGAGTTGAATGCGGACTGAGTTGACGACGGATTTTCCCGTTATTTCACGATCAGTACAAGTAGCACACAGGGCGGGTGTGTCCGATCGGCAGGGGATGTTCACTCCTCTATGGTACCTGATCCCACCTCTGATGTTTTGGAGGTTCGTGTTTGCTCTGCAGCTATTTTGCAGTGTTTTATGGACTTTTGACCTTGAATACTGGTCGTTATCTCCATATGTTTCACTGTAATAACATATCCAGCATGACTATAAGTATAAAGTGAAGAAGAACATGAACACAACAATGCAGGATCATTTTTTCATATATTCAATATCCAGACCCTGTAAAGTATTTAAATTAACGTCTGTCCTGGCATTGTTAAATATCGCAGCACTCCAATGACACACCTTACATATTGATTTGCTTATCGGTGTCAACTGAGATGTATACAATTTATATAAACAGAAAGTACAGAAAAGACAATATTTATTTAAACTTTGTAGGGAAATTTGAAATCTTACCGAATTTGTCAAAAATTAAGAAAATTATGATCAGTCGTAAGTTAGCCCCATTAAAACTAGTTTCACCAAGAAATGGAACTATACATACCTTAATATATACACATGCTTTGCCTTCGAATAGACACGTTGCCTTCAAAGTGAAAAGTAAGTACTTTAAACGAACTATTTGATGTTAATATTTTTTCAAAAACATTTTATAATCTTTTCCAAATTGAAGTATGACTGATTTTAATTTATGTCTTTACATTGTATATATTTCATAAAGGAAACCTCACAAAGGAATTCAATAACATGTTTCTTTTCATCAATATTTCAAGAGAGACATATCCAAAATATTATTTCACATTCCAAAGGATACACATGGAGGTTTTTATTAATGCAAAATAATGTTAGTTTACAAGGCCTACATTACAAGACATTTACGACAGTAAAACTAATTTGAATATTATTATACTATACATATACCCGGTAGTTATAACTAAATATTAAAACGAAAGTAGCAAATTCCCTAACATTGAAGAGGAGGACAGTATACTCTTGTATTGTTGAAGAAGTGAGAGACACCGAACTAACATACATCAAATTTAATATTTTAGAATATGTCTAATTTGCTGGTGGCGGCCATCGACTTCGGTACAACCTTCTCTGGGTACGCCTTTTCCTTTCTGCATGATTATAGAAGGGATCCTTTGAAAATTTCTGCCAACACTTGGACAGCAGGGTCAGGGAACCTGGTGTCTCTCAAAACATCTACATGTGTCCTATTTGATCCAAACGGAAAGTTTCATTCTTTTGGGTTTGAAGCCGAGGACAAATATTCTAACCTAGCCTTAGATGATGATCACCATGACTGGTATTACTTCAGAAGATTTAAAATGCTGCTTTACGAGAAAACTGTATGTATGCTTGTGTAATTTTCTATGATTTAAACAGCGATATTATTTAATTTCGGGAAAAAAGTCCGGTTTAAAGTTTCTACTTTGTCAATGTCTAAAGTGTCAATAAAAATATATATAACTGTTTTTATTTGTAAAGATAAATAATTAATTATCAATATTTTATAATATTAAAGCATTTGTCGAGGGAAATCCTTATTGAAGATGATAAAGGGAAGGAAATGGAGGCAATGAAAGTATTTTCAACAGCAATAGGATACTTGAAAAATCATATGATGACAAACTGTAAGACGCAGTTGACAGATATAGAGGAATCCGACATTACGTGGGTGTTAACAGTGCCCGCCATTTGGAGTGACCCATCGAAGCAGTTCATGAGAGAAGCTGCAGGAAAGGTCTCTTAATTTCAACACTTGAACATAAACTCAACATTAAAATAATCAAGACATGATTTTATTTTATGGTTACCTGAGTCCCTCGGGTGATCTACTGCTGTTCGTTTTTGTCCGAAGTCTTCATTCTTTTACATTTGACCATTTCAACTTCTCTGGAATCCCTGAACCAATTTCAACAGAGAGACAAAAGAGGTGGACCATAGCCATCAAATTTAGTTTTATCTTTACATAAAATAATCTTTACCCATGGATATAAATCAAGCAGTCAAACTCTTGGCGTGATTATGAAGCAATTCGTCCCTTACCAAAATTGTGAAATTCAAGGTCCCACGGTCAAATGTTCTCCATTTAGGATGGGGCTCTTATGATCATAAAGTGAAAATGTTTTTTATTAAAAAGTCTCCCCATTTGTATATTTTGTAGATAAACTTAGTGCTTGATTATGATAAGCAATGGTGCCTCTTTCCAAATTTTGATATTTCTGGTCCAGGATCAAAGCTCCTGGGGGAGTGGTTCTTTTGATTTTATTAATTGAGAATTAATTATTAGTTTCCTGTCGATGAAACCGGCGAGACTGACGGTGTTCGCCCATCTATCTCACTGACTGTCTACCAGTTTGCCTGTCAGTATGTCCCACTCGATTTTCTGCAGTTTTTCCTAATGCTTTTATTGAGCTAATTTTGTTATGTGAATGTATTTTGATGAGTTTCAGATCATATTTGCACTATATATTTTGTTCCGCTTTGAGGAATTGGGACGGAATTACAGCCTTTTAATTTTTTTAAGGGGTTGCCACACTTTTCTTCTAATCGCCTGCAGATATTAATGTGATTTTTTTTTATCGGTGTCTACCTTTAACAGTTATAGATACATTTTGCATTTTGTTTCGTTTTAATGATTTTCGGTTCTTTTTAAATTCATGGAAACCAAATTACATTCCTGGTAGGGTGTGGCCAATATTGCTAATGCACACGCTCAGAAGGCGTCTTTGTTTTAAAATCTTCGTCTCTGATCCTGAGTATTAAGCAAATTAACTAATTGCAAAGTTGTATTGAGCAATACTTATTTATTTCTTAGTCTATGGATTAGGGGTACTTTGTGTTTTGGTAGGTTTCAATTGATCAGATAGTGAATATGCATAGTCCTCAAATTTCTTTTCCTCTGCCCCTGAATATAGGCAGACGAACTACAATTGTAAGGAAATAATGAGCAATGCTACTTATTTTTAAAAGAATTAAATTCACCCCTCCCCCACTTGGTCAAGGATTTTGATGCTAGGGTACGTGGAGCTCTGTTAATTAAAGTGATATTAGTAATTAAAAGTTATATTAGTTAAAATGCATTTTTTCTTCGAATAGGATCTTTTTCCCTTCTGTTCCTGGGTAATTAGCAGAAATTTTAATTAAGTGTTACTGTAAACTTGTGATGAGCAAGAATTCGAAACTGTAATGTATAACATCACTTAACACTGTGTGGTATCTTTTTCGGTTGCTTCTATTCCTTTTAAATCTTAGCATAATTTTACTATTGTATATTTACCACAGAGATCCGCCAATTTATTATCAAATTTAAATTTTAAAAATAATTTTAGATTTAATACAATAATCTAATTGCATAATATGTTTGTCTTTACTGTTTTCCAAATACAGATTATTTACACAGCCCTAGATTGAACATTATGTATGTGTACATATAACAATGGCATGTGTTAAAAACACGAAATCAGTATTTTCCATGTCCCTATTTATTTTGTATGACACAGGTACATTATTTACACAGGTTTAAAATGAAATTAACAATATAAGCCCGTCCAAGTAGGCAAAGAACATTTAAATCGATGCCTGACAATTTAACGTATGCAAGCATAGTGTCCTAGTTACCACAAAACTTGCTATATACAAGACACATGATGGAATTTAGTATTCACAAAGTTACTTAAGGGAAGATATCACGTGCTGAATTATAATATTCAACGTGTCACAACCCTTATGCCAGAAATTGTAAATTGCTTTCGACATACTGTCAATTACCCGATAACAATGGTAATTTCCATTCTTATATTATGTCGATGCGATATATCTTTGTGAGCTTGAGATAAAAGATACCACAGAGTCTGACACTTCTGTTTCATATTCATATATTTTATATGAAAAAATCTTAATGGTAATCTAACAACCAAGCTCTATGATAAACGTAATGACTAACTTTTCTATCGTCAACTTCCCTTACTTATGCAGGAATATACCATCATCACCTGCATACGTTTATGTGTCTCAGTTGATTCGATACGCAAAAGCATGCTCTACGTATGAACAATTTCTAAAACGATGTAATTATTGACAAACAAGTTGATGAAACAAAGAATTTCAGCAGACTCGTTTAAAGCCACCATTTCGTAAGTTCTTTGGACAATACAATGACCTTGTCAGCAAACACAATTTATCATTGAGTCAAATGCTGACTGACGTTTTTCATACTAATTGTTAATCAATTATTTATCCATATTTTTCCATTGTTTCCCTATCATGACAAGGAGCACGCGGCGGATATGATCGGTCGGCAAGTGATGCTCACTCCTCCATGGCACCTGGACTGGGTGCCATAAAACTTAGACGATCTCACTCTTGATCTCAGTCTCACTTTCCCCTATATATTACTTTCGAAAAAGTGAGACTGAGATCAAAAGTGAGCTCGTCTATATGTTATGGCCCCAAGGCCTGATCCTACCTCTGATGCTTTGGAAGTCTGTGTTTCCTCTGCTCTTATTTGGTATTGTTTTATGGACTTTTAATCAAGAATACTGTTCGTTATCTCCATATGTTTCATTCGAAATTCTTCTTCATCTTTTCGTTATTTACAAAGCAATGGAAAAGCACAAATAATGATTGATCTCTTTCCCAAAAAATCCAATTCTTTAAGAATTGAATTTCTGCTCTGTTTGTATACATGCTTTTGATGTAATCAAGGGATTGTTTCAAAGCAGAAAAAATTGAAAAGAAATATTTATCGGTCAAGTTCAAAGTATATACATATGTTAAGAAATTATATAAAAATGGTTTTTGTATCTGAGACAGGTTATAAAGTACTTCTTTTCGCTTTCCTCTTAAAATATGTATCAAAATAATAAAAAAACATCTTAAAAGATAAACTTTTCTTTCATAGGTCGGAATTGCTGATGATAAATTGATGATAGCCCTTGAACCTGAGGCAGCTTCACTTTACTGCATGCACCTACCAGTCCAGAGAGGGGGAGAAAATACCACCTTTGGAGTGTTTAAGCCAGGTGCAAAATATATGGTTGTTGATGCTGGAGGTAAAAAAAACTTTGAACTGCTCTTAATTCATTTACCAAGTACGTGTATTACGAAGGATATGATAATTATGCCTATAGCTTAATGATGAAGAACAAGAGGCCCATGGGCAACATCGCTCACCTGAGCACTGTGGCTAGGAACAACCACAAATCAATTTAGTAAATGTATAAGTTATGCTGACCCTAAAAGGGGGTATAATTTCAACAAATTTAAATCTACGCAAACTTGAATCTACACTAACTAACTTTTTTACTATAATGCTATAAATACTATTTTCCTTACATTTTTGAATTTTTATTGTTGTACATGTACCATCCTACCCCCTGGGGTCATAATTTTAACAAATATGCTTCTACACTATACCTGAGGATGCTTCAATAACCAATCCTGACTTTGCTGTTTATAAGCATGTTGAAAGATTTTTCCTATAAATTCCTATGTAAAACTTTGGTAGTCCATTGTGGCTCTGCCCGTACCCCGGGGGCATGATTTTAACAAATTTGAATCGGCTCTAATGATTTTAACAAATTTGAATCGGCTCTACCTGAAGATACTTCCATATAAAAATGACTAATCATGACTTTGCTGTTCTCAAGAAGCTTTTTAATGATCTTTTCCTATATATTCCTGTGTAAATCTTTGACCCCCCCCCCATTGTAGCCCCACCTTAACCACGGGGGATTATAATTTTGAATCTATGCTACCTGAGGATGCTTCCAGAAAAATATGACCAATCATAACTTTTCTGTTCCTCATCATCAGATTTTCTTTATATATACCTATGTAAAACTTTGACCGTTCATGGTGACCCCGTCCTACCCCGTGGTTATGAATAGAACAATCTTGAATCTATACTACCTAAGGATACTTTTGTTCATATAAATATGAACAATCATGGCTTTGCTTTTTTTAAGAAGAATATTTTTAAAGATTTTTCCTATATATTCCTTTATAAAATTTTAATCGCCAATTGTGGCCCTGCTCTACCCACGGGGTCATGATTTGAACAAACTTGAATCAACACTATATGAGGATGTTTCCATATTAGTTTTATCTTTCCTTTCCCAGTGGTTCTTGAGAAGAAGATTTTTAAAGATTATTCCTACATATTCCTATGTAAAATCTGATCGTTCTTTGAGGCCCCGCCCTACCCCCAGGAGTCATGATATGAACAAGCTTGAATCTATACTACATGAAGAATGTTTCCAAATAAGTTACATCTTCCCTGGCCCAGTGGTTCTTGAGAAGATTTTTAAAAGATTTTTCTTATATATTCCTATGTAAAACTTTTATCGCCCTGGGGGTCATGATTTGAACAAACTTGAATCTACTTTACATGAGGATGCTTCCATATACCGCTTAGTTTCATCTTTCCTGGCCAAGTGGTTCTTGAGAATTTTTTTGAGATTTTTAAAGATTTTTCCTATATATTCCTACGTGTATGTAAAACTTTGATCGTCGATTGAGGCCCCGCCCTACCCCCGGGGGTCATGATTTGAACAAACTTGAATCTCCATTACATTTAAGTTTCATCTTCCCTGGCCCAGTGGTTCTTGAGAAGAAGATTTAAAAGATTTTTCCAATAATTCCTTTGTAAAACTTTGCTATTTTAAGAAGATTTTTAAAGACTTTTCTTATATATTCCTTTATAAAATTTTAATCGTCAATTGTGGCCCCGCTCTACCCCCGGGGTCATGATTTGAACAAACTTGAATCTACTCTACATGAGAATGTTTCCATATAAGTTTCATCTTTACTAGTCCAGTAGTTCTTGAGAAGAAGATTTTTAAAAGAAACCATTAATTTTTCACTAATTTTTAATCATTCCCCCTTGGAATAGGGTGTGGCCCTTCATTTTAACAAATTTGAATTCCCTTCACCCATGGATACTTTGTTGCAAGTTTGGTTGAAATTGGTTCAGTGGTTCTTGAGTGGTTCTTGAGAAGTCAAAAAGTGAGAAAAAAATACAGACAGACAGACAGCTACAGACAGAACAACGCCGGAAAAAATGTGATCATAAAAGATCACTTGAGCCAAGGCTCAGGTGAGCTAAAATGTTAGAGAATTGTTTCATTGAAATTAAATGTTTCTGCATTTCACATTTTTATTTTTACACAAGGTGGAACAATCGACATTACGGTTCATGAAGTCCAGAGCAATGGTACTCTGAAAGAGTTGCACAAAGCTAACGGTGGAGACTGGGGTGGAACTAAAGTAGATGCTTCATTTCGCAGTTTGTTGGCCGACATCGTGGGTAACGATGTCATGGAGATTTTCAGTATGGATCACAAATGCGATTTCCTTGATCTATTGAGAGATTTTGAGGTAAAGAAGAGAACCATATCTCCCGATCTTAACGATAAGGTTACTTTCAAAGTCCCGATTAATTTGCTTGAAACATTCCGCTCAATCAATCCAGGAGACGACATTAAATCAGTCGTCACATCAAAATCCAAGTACAAAAGTAAACTCACTTGGACAGGAGACAAATTAAGAATGGAGGCAGACCTCACAAAAACACTCTTTGACGAAAGCTGCAAGAAAATTGTCCAGCATCTTAAAAACATCCTCAAGAGTCCTTCTGTAAAAGATGTATCTTCAATTCTTCTGGTAGGTGGATTTGCCGAATCACCAATGTTACGTGTTGCTATTCAAACTGCTTTTAAACAGACAAAAATAATTGTCCCACAAGATGCCGGACTGGCCGTTCTAAAGGGTGCAGTACTATACGGACATAATCCAAATGCAATTACATCAAGAGTTTGCAAATATACTTATGGTGTAGGAACAACAACCGAGTTTATCGAATCTGTCCATCCTCAGTCAAAGAAAAAAATCATAAATGAAACTGCGTATTGCGACGACATTTTCTCCATCCATGTGAAGGTCGGAGACACAGTCAAAGTTGGAGAAGCTCAGGTGAAAAAAACCTACACCGTTCTAAAGCCCGATCAAACATCAATAGGCATACCGATTTTTATATCACCTGATGAAAAACCTGAGTACACAACTGATAATGGATGCAAATGTCTTGGGAAACTAATCGTCAATACACCAGACATATCCAAAGGAATGGATAACGGTGCTGATGTATTTATGACATTCAGTGGGACAGAGTTAACAGTTACTGCAACTGAAAAACATCAACAGAACGTAGTAACTGCATCTTTTGACTTCCTTGGGTGAGCGCAAAGGGAGGTGCTAAAATTACTGCATAGTAGCATTTGATAAAGAAGATAAATAACTGAAATTTAAAACTAAGTAGAATGTGAAATGGCAGAGAAGAGATGTTAAAAGTGCTAAAATCCGACCATTAGCATCAGACATTAAGGTCAATAAATGATTGACCTCCTCTCCTGCCTGATTCACACGACCGTCATGCTATTCATACTATATAAAGTATTCTTTCCAGTATCAAATAGCACCATAAAACATTCTTCAATATTGACGTAAGTTTAAAGACGAGTCTTTTCAATGATGCATGTCTCAAGAGGGGTTTCCTTTTTTTCTACTCTTAATTGTTTCCACCTGGTGCGAATCATTGATAATATCGATTTCACAGAAAAGTATATCATGTAAAGTTGATATATATTTTTCTGTGAAGTTGATAATCTGCTATCAAATGTACATGTACAATAAGTATCTCTTTGTATGTTTATCATCTCCAGTTGTAGAATTGTTCACTTGATATAACATGTATATGATTAAATGCATTTAAATAAACACGGCTGAGGAAAGTCGGTAATAAGCGGTAATTTTAAAAAGGGTTGTAATTGTTTAAGAGAGACATATAGTGAAGTGCGTCCTGTAGAGCCTTTCACCAGAGTACAACCGACAGAATGGACGTACTTCAGGTATAAATATTCATTTCTCCTTTATTAAAAACAATGTAATATCGCATATTCATCGATATCATATAATATTTTGCATAGCTTTTTTAAATAAATTATTTATTCCTCAAACGTCTGTGTGCGCATTACCATCACCAAAAGCTTCAAACCCAATGAATCCAGAGAATCCTTGGTGATTCTGTAAAAGAAAACATTTCTAGATGAGGTAACTACTGATTCCTGTAAGAGAAGAATTGAAAATAGCAGAACTATTTGCATTATTCTTACTATTTCGTTATCTTGCACTTCGTCGTTGTGAAAATCAGGACTATTAATACCGAAGTCTGCCACTGTCCCGTTCTCCCGTTCAGAGGGTGTTCGAAGAAGTCTGACTTCCGATGACCCTCGGTCTTTTAAGGTATAAACGTGCTTTCAAAGAGAGAAGCAAATAATTATAGTATTCTTCCATAATATTTGTAAGATTTATGATTCTAAGACATAGTTTAATGTTATATTTATTGTACGAAAGGTATGGAGATAACGAACAGTATTCAATCTCAAAGTCCATAAAACAATACAAAATAGGAGCAGAGCAAACATTAGAGGTGGGATCAGGTGCCATGGAGGAGTGAGCATTGTCTTTTATTCTGTATGTAAATTATATCATATTAGGAGGTTTATTACCTTTGGAACGAGTTGCAGTCGTTTGAGTGTCACCTCGAAGGCACCAAATAAAACAGCTAAGACAAGACCACCGATCAAAATGTAGAAAACACCAGCGACGTTACTGAGCGATAAGGATCTCTTCCCAGATGTCTCCTGTAGTTATGCAATTAAAAAATATAACTCATAATGAAATATTTGAAAGAAAGTTTTTTTAAGTATTATCTTTTGACTTTAGAAAATCTTTCTTGATGTCTACAGTAGTATTCCAACCTGAGAACAGAGAAAATTATTAAACAATTTAAAGTTTTATAAAAAATATGTATTTTAATGTTTGCAATTAGATGGTGAAGAATGCAAAAATGACCTTATATTTACTCCCTTAGTGTATGTGCATAATATGCAAAAAATCCTTTTTTAAACTGTACATAATAATTTGAAATTTGATGTACATTGGACATTTCTCTTGTGCACATCTTTTAACACATATTTAAATGAAAGTTTTAAGTATTGACAAAGTATAGCCCTATATTTCCTAAAACTTTTCTTTTTTCACATTAGTATGCCTACATGACTCTGATCTGGTTATCTCTAGCATACTGAGACTTTAACTTTGCCTGGTTATCCCCAGTAAACTTTTTATTTGCCTACATAACCTTGACCTAGAAACTAGTATTCTGACCACAGGGTGACTTGTCTTTATGATAACTGGTTATCCTGGTCAGTCAGCACCTTTTAAGTTGCCTATATGATCCTGACCTGATTATTCTAGGAATTATGTGACTTTTCTTTATATCCCTCACCTGGTTATCCTGAGCACATTGTGATTTGTCATTCCACCATCGTCTCTTTAACCTGTGTAGAGTACCTTCCTCCTTCAACTCAAGTACAGCCAGATTAAGCACATCCCTGAAAATATGAAGGGTAAGGATATACAACATTTGTTTTCAAAAGCAAATCTGATCGCTGAAAAAGTTAGGTACCTTAAAGGTGAATTGAGGGGAGTTGCAATCCCAAAACCTTTGGAGTTGAGGTTCCTGCCAACTTTCATTGTGTCACAAGGCTCACGACTGTTGGCATATTCATTAGAAGTGGATTCCAATAGAAAGGCGTATTTTCCTTTAGAATCTCGCACTCTTTTTATACCTTCACTCACTGTTTTAACATTATACTGGTCATTATATTTCATAAACTGTCCCATTTTTCGGAATGTTGGTACCTTTGACATCTACAATGTACAAGAATCAAACTTATGATCTATTTTGATGTAAACCCTTAACAATAATTAGTAAATATGCAACAGAATATGGCAACTAGCCAAAAAGTACATTTGTTCCATACTCATGTTGTTGATATTTTAGATAAAGCATCATATTTTAAGTCAACTTTCACTTAATATGAAAAAGGTAGAAAAAAGAGTAGCCAATATATATCACCAGGTCGAATGAAAACCTTGTGATATTTGTTAATATAAATATTACTTATATAATTTAAGAATTAAAAGTGTAAGAGGGGTGCTAGATATGTATGAAGATCTATTATGTGCTTAATTTTAACGCATAATATTACTTATATAATTTAAGAATTAAAAGTGTAAGAGGGGCGCTAGATATGTATGAAGATCTATTATGTGTTTAATTTTAACGAATAATATTACTTATATAATTTAAGAATTAAAAGTATAAGAGGGGTGCTAGATATGTATGAAGATCTATTATGTGCTTAATTTTAACGCATAATATTACTTATATAATTTAAGAATTAAAAATGAAAGAGGGGTGCTAGATAAGTATGAAGATCTATTATGTGCTTAATTTTAACGCATAATATTACTTATATAATTTAAGAATTAAAAGTGTAAGAGGGGCGCTAGATATGTATGAAGATCTATTATGAGCTTAATTTTAACGCAAAATATTACTTATATAATTTAAGAATTAAAAGTGTAAGAGGGGCGCTAGATATGTATGAAGATCTATTATCTGTTTAATTTTAACGCATAGTATCACATATATAATTTAAGTATTAAAAGTGTAAGAGGGGTGCTAGATATGTATGAAGATCTATTATCTGTTTAATTTTAACGCATAATATTACTTACATGATTTAAGAATTACAAGTGTAAGAGGGGTGCTAGATATGTATGAAGATCTATTATCTGTTTAATTTTAACGCATGCTATAAGTCTGAACAAAACTTTGGACACAGTCTGAATGTTTTAGTATTTCCTTGAACAATTTTTACCCATAATTATTGAAAAACACCGAGAAATGAGGACAAAGATACCATGGCGACGTGTTGAAAGTAACAGAATGAAATTAGAGAGGAAATTAAATTCCTTGAATGATAATAAGGATGCTACATTTTTGCCATAGGGTAAGTAGGCTGGTTACATGTTCAACATTTTTATGAATATAACACTAAGTATTTAAACCAATATCACATTTCAAAATGTCAAACACATATGTGGATTTACCTCGAAGAATTCGCGCGAGGATCCAGACCTCACTGTTCCGTATTTGATGTCTGTCTGAGCCGCTAAATCGTCTGCTGATGCTATTGGAGTGACCAAACGTTCAATGGTAAGAAAGGCCGCTAAATTAGCAGTGTACGTGGAAATGATAATCAAGACAAAGAACCACCATACTGTTCCTATAACCCGACCTGATAGAGATCTGAAATGACAGAAGGTTTTTTTCTGATTCCACCTCCAACATGCATGATGAAGGTTTATTTCAAAGTGAAAATGCATACCTGTCATAAAGAATTAGATACGAATTATTCTCAAAATGATGACCATCCTCACACATATCAAATCTTATGTTTGACTTCAAACTTTTTGGGGGTTTTGTTGCATCATGTTTATTTGGTTTTACTTGGTAATACTTTATGAATAAAAAACAGATGTGTAAAACCTTGTATTTTTGGTTCAACTTACCGTGGACAAGAGTCGCTTCCCTGAAGCATCAATGCCCCAGCAGAAAACCAAAAGGTGTTGACAAGAGAAAATTCATTTTCGTATTTCAATACAGTTCCTTGAATTAATTTTCTCCATTCAAAAGGACTAGCTCTGCACACAAAGAAAAGTCCTACACTCACAGCAATGTAAGCCAGCAGGATAAACATCCAGATTTGAATTGAGAACGGTTTCATAAAAGAGAACACTCCTGGTTTTTCTATTTCTGGTTTCTTTATCATTATACTGATGCCGACCTCCATGAATGGTTTGGTGAAGTCCACCACGTTCTCCCGTTTGAGTGTTATGGTCAACGGAGCCACCGCCATATCGGCTGTCTACAAGGGAGACAACTCTTAGGTTTTATAATCTTTTTTATTATATTTTTTTATTCATTTAGATTCTTAATTTAAAGAATAGGATAATGTCGAACAGTACTATAAATGATCAATTACTAATTAAGCTTATCTAATATAGAATCTCTTTTTTAAAAAATACTTTTCAGTGCTAAGCTTCAATTTTTTTTCAAAAGGGATTGTGTTTCTTATTATGAAGAAGATTAAAATTTTGTTAAGCAAGGTAAGCTGAAAGGAACTGTAAAAAGGAACCTAAAACGTTTTTCATTACATAATACAGTTAAGACACCAGACAGATTTTTTTTTTCAGTGAAGAATTGAATCACTCAAAATTGGACAGGAAAGATTCTGCATTGAGCCACAGTTGGAGTGTAATTTTTTTTTTATTGAAAGTAATACAGTAGGAGGAATACGAAGTATAAAGAAGGAAGAGGAGGATGCATTGCAATATAAAAGTATTTTACATGCATAAACATTTCTTTCTGAGAAAATATACAAGGCTACAAATCATAACTATCACAATAAATATCATTTAAATTTGGAAACTGGGTAACAGTATGTATGTTCAAATCATTAACCATGGTTACTGGGTGGCCAGACATATTTATTCAAAGATATGTTATTTCAAAAAGTGGATTTTAAAATATTTTATGCTTGTTTCCTAATGCCTGTGATTGAGAAGGTCTTTTGAATTCTTGTATCAATGACGAAGTGTTTATAAGCTTAATTATCCGTAATATATGGTCTAATTATTGACATGACATCAATATACCATCATTATTTCTTATTTTTAAGATAAACTTTATACCCCATCAAGTAACTCTCCTATGATGCCATTCCACTCCCCAGTCTTTGTATCTTGGCGACCATACTGATTATCATGAACAAGCTGAAGTCTGTATTTTAAATCCAGTCGCTCTGCTATCTTCTTTGTTAAGTCAACTATAAATCCTGAAAAAAAATTCGGAATAAGATTTTTTTTTTTTTTTTGAAAACTTTATTTTTTCTTTAAAATCAATTTCATAATATCCATAAGCAGTCTCAATGATCTGCATGATAATTTGTGGCTAATCTTTAATTAACAAATATTTATTGAATTTGGGTGAAATCATCGGAAGCCCACGGCCAATCTCGCATAAGGGTGTGCAAGATTGGCCGTAGGTTTCTGACGATGAATTATCTGCATTTTCATAGCAGAAAATCTAAGTAGGTAATAAATCAAACATCCTTCGAGGAAGGAAGATTATGTAATCTAAGGAATATATATACATGTATATATTTTTCGAATATATGGTGTCCATGAAGATATGGAGATAATGAACGGTATTCAATATCAAAGTCCATAAAACAATACAAACAAGCTAATTCAGAGAATTCGTGTCCCCCGCTTAGGGAAAAAGTCGGCTCCCCCTGACTGAATTTGTAGAATTATTAAATGTATACATGCATACTGAAGGAAATAAAATACATGTATGTCAATATGCATATAAAGATTTGATTGCTTATTCTTTATTATGTGTATAGAAGATTTTTTGATATGGAATATTTATCACACTGTAATGATGATTTTATAACCTCATAAATTTTTCATTTCACATGCTGAATACTATCATTTAGTTAAAAAAAAAGTATTTAAAAAAAAAAAAAAAAAAAAAAGAAAGGTTCGACCAAGATTCGATCCCGGGACTTCTCACATTTGAAGCAAGAGACATAACCACTAGACCACGGGGTCGCTTTACGCGGAGTGAAGTATATGCAGAACTGAAGTCACATACATGCATATATTCATGTTTTCATGTTCGGTATTCTCAAAATTTTACACAATCCATGGTGTTTGATTTATTTAGCCTTTATTAAACAGTTATAATAGATGTAATAAGAACATAAAGTCCGCCGAGAACCTGTTTTATACGCAATAACTCTCCTCATGCCCCTGCGCTAAAAATAGCGACATGTAATACTGTAAATACTAATAAAACAAGCTAATTCAGAGAATTCGTGTCCCCCGCTTAGGGAAAAAGTCGGCTCCCCCTGACTGAATTTGTAGAATTATTAAATGTATACATGTATACTGAAGGAAATAGAATACATGTATGTCAATATGCATATAAAGATTTGATTGCTTATTCTTTGTTATGTGTATAGAAGATTTTTTTATATGGAATATTTATCACACTGTAATGATGATTTTATAACCTCATAAATTTTTCATTTCACATGCTGAATACTATCATTTAGTAAAAAAAAAAAAAAGTATTTAAAAAAAAAAAAAAAAAAAAAAAAAAGGAGAGGTTCGACCGAGATTCAATCCCGGGATCTCTCACATTTGAAGCGAGAGACATAACCACTAGACCACGGAGTCGCTTTACACGGAGTGAAGTATATGCAGAACTGAAGTCACATACATGTATATATTCATGTTTTAATGTTCGGTATTCTCAAAATTTTACACAATCCAGGGTGTTTGATTTATTTAGCCTTTATTAAACAGTTCTAATAGATGTAATAAGAACATAAAGTCCGCCGAGAACCTGTTTTATACGCAATAACTCTCCTCATGCCCCTGAGCTAAAAATAGCGACATGTAATACTATAAATACTAATAAAACAAACGGGGCGGGGCACTTTGAGAGGGGCTAGAGACATCCTAGGGAGTTTTGGTATAAAATTACATTGCATAAGCTCAAAATCTTCTTGAAATATCGCCCGGAAATGATAGTGTTACACACAGACAGAATGTATAAATTTACGACCTTGAACTTTGACCTTTTGACCTCAAAATCAATAGGGGTCTTCTTTAGGCCACAGGGAGTTGTTATGTAAAATTTCATTGCAATAGCTCAAATGGTTCTAGAGATATCGTGTGGAAACGAAAGTGTTTTAACAGACAGAATTTGCTTATTTATGACCTTGACCTTTGATCTTTTGACCTCAAAATCAATAGGGGTCTTCTTTAGTCCATAGGGAGTTGCTATGCTAAATTTCATTGCAAAAGCTCAAAGGGTTCTCGAGATATCGTGTGGAAACGAAAGCGTTACAGACAGACAGAAAGACGGACGGACGGACGGACGGACGGACAAACCCAAATTAATATCCCCCACTTTTCAAGCGGGGGACAACAAACGGGGCGGGGCACTTTGAGAGGGGCGAGAGACGTCCTAGGGAGTTTTGGTATAAAATTACATTGCATAAGCTCAAAATCTTCTTGAAATATCGCCCGGAAATGATAGTGTTACACACAGACAGAATGTATAAATTTACGACCTTGAACTTTGACCTTTTGACCTCAAAATCAATAGGGGTCTTCTTTAGGCCACAGGGAGTTGTTATGTAAAATTTCATTGCGATAGCTCAAATGGTTCTAGAGATATCGTGTGGAAACGAAAGTGTTTTAACAGACAGAATTTGCTTATTTATGACCTTGACCTTTGACCTTTTGACCTCAAAATCAATAGGGGTCTTCTTTATTCCATAGGGAGTTGCTATGCTAACTTTCATTGCAAAAGCTCAAAGGGTTCTCGAGATATCGTGTGGAAACGAAAGCGTTACAGACAGACAGAAAGACGGACGGACGGACGGACGGACGGACAAACCCAAATTAATATCCCCCACTTTTCAAGCGGGGGACAAAAATAGGAGCAGAGCAAACACAGACCTCCGAAACATCAGAGGTGGGATCAGGTGCCATGAAGGAGTGAGCATCCCCTGATGACCGGTCACACCCGCCGTGTGCTCCTTGTCATGATTGGGAAATGACGGAAAAATCCGTCGTCAATTCAGTGTATAAATAATGGACTAACAATTAGTATGAAAAACATCAGTCAGCATTTGACTCAATGATAAATTGTATTTGCTGACAAGGTCATTGTAACGGTCATAGAACTTACGAAATGATGATTTTAAACGAGACTGCTGATATTCTTGTTTCATCAACTTGTTGTCCCCCGCTTGAAAAGTGGGGGATATTAATTTGGGTTTGTCCGTCCGTCCGTCCGTCCGTCTGTCCGTCCGTCCGTCCGTCTTTCTGTCTGTCTGTAACGCTTTCGTTTCCACACGATATCTCGAGAACCCTCTGAGCTTTTGCAATGAAATTTAGCATAGCAACTCCCTATGGACTAAAGAAGACCCCTATTGATTTTGAGGTCAAAAGGTCAAAGGTCAAGGTCATAAATAAGCAAATTCTGTCTGTTAAAACACTTTCGTTTCCACACGATATCTCGAGAACCATTTGAGCTATTGCAATGAAATTTTACATAACAACTCTCTGTGGCCTAAAGAAGACCCCTATTGATTTTGAGGTCAAAAGGTCAAAGTTCAAGGTCGTAAATTTATACATTCTGTCTGTGTGTAACACTTTCATTTCCGGGCGATATTTCAAGAAGATTTTGAGCTTATGCAATGCAATTTTATACCAAAACTCCCTAGGACGTCTCTCGCCCCTCTCAAAGTGCCCCGCCCCGTTTGTTTTATTAGTATTTGTTTATAGTATTACATGTCGCTATTTTTAGCGCAGGGGCATGAGGAGAGTTATTGCGTATAAAACAGGTTCTCGGCGGACTTTATGTTCTTATTACATCTATTAGAACTGTTTAATAAAGGCTAAATAAATCAAACACCATGGATTGTGTAAAATTTTGAGAATACCGAACATGAAAACATGAATATATACATGTATGTGACTTCGATTCTGCATATACTTCACTCCATGTAAAGCGACTCCGTGGTGTAGTGGTTATGTCTCTCGCTTCCAATGTGAGAGGTCCTGGGATCGAATCTCGATCGTACCGTTCTTTTTTTTTTCTTTTTTTTTTTTAAATACTTTTTTTTTTACTAAATGATAGTATTCAGCATGTGAAATGAAAAATTTATGAGGTTATAAAATCATCATTACAGTGTGATAAATATTCCATATGAAAAAATCTTCTATACACATAATAAAGAATAAGCAATCAAATCTTTATATGCATATTGACATACATGTATTTTATTTCCTTCAGTATACATGTATACATTTAATAATTCTACAAATTCGGTCAGGGGGAGCCGACTTTTTCCCTAAGCGGGGGACACGAATTCTCTGAATTAGCTTGTTTGTCAATAATTTACCTCGTTTTAGAAAATGGCCATAGGTAGAGCATGCTCTTGCGTATTGAATCCATAAAAATCATCAGGAAAGAGGGGACGTCATTTAAGCATTGCAAAATAAGAGTACTTGAAATATGTATTATATAAAACATACTTCATGACAAATTAAAGACCAGGCTTTGTGACAAATACTCCCTACTTGAAAAGGAATGTCTATCTCGTTGTTATTCAAATACTAAAATCAGTCTGATTCTACGCACAAGTACTCTGAAGTTGATATTTAAAAGATGATGAAATTCCACATTTATTTACATTAATTATTTGTCTTTGAAGATTAGGTCTTCCAACAATTTGTTGGATTTCAGAGGGGTGCTAATTCTGTTCCTTTGCTAGCCGACTTGTTTTCTATGAAGTATAATTTATTTTTTTAAATTACATGAGGAGAAAAAAAGCTTGCTGTAGCCTTCAACTCAACATTTAGATAATTATATCCAAATAAATCTAAATATCCAAATGAACTCGGTCGGGAATGCTCATTCCTGTTTGGCACCTGTTCCCACCGTGTTTTTGTTCCCACCGATTGGTTTTGTTTACTGGATTTATAAGATTGATCACTCTTCGTTGTCTTCATATTTGACAATAAATTATAAAATATACTCAGTATTTTACCTTGTTTCAAGATAAGTTTTTTTTTCAAAATAGCCTCAAATTTAAACATTCAATGTTGCCATAATCATATACTAGTACTCTTTCTGTATTTCCATTTATAATGAACACGTTTTGCACTGCAAAGTTAACATCAATATACTAACAATGATTTTCAATTCCAACAGGATTTTTCTTAAAATTAGGAAAATGTTAATACCGGTAATACTTCTGTTACTTTGTTAACCCCTCATTATTGTGTGACCGCTATCAAGTTTACAAGAAATATTTTTGTATTTAAGCAGCGTTACCGACATTGAAGACTATTCTTCTTACCTTCAAACCGATCATTGTAGTTTGGATCCGAGGAATTCCCTCGAAGATCCGCATCTTTCTTGTACTGGAGAAATGGTGCAACCTAAGTAAGTAATGTAAACGTGATTTATACATACAGTAACTTGTCAATCTCTGGCGATGCTGAAGATGAAAACTGGGTACTGACTACCTACCATAATGGTGGTTATTCTTATAATTCCGTCACGTCTTGTCATGTTCCTTTGGAAGGGATTATTCTCGTCTGCTCCAACAAGTCTGAAGCGACCTTGGCTCCATTTTCCGATCTTAACGAATTTTACAAGATACAAGATTTTTTAGTGTGATTTGGAAGGAGCAAATGAGATTTACAAACATGAAACAACAGGAGAAGGCGGATCAAAACGATATTATTTCAAATGAAAAATTATATTGTAGAAATTTAAAAAGAAATTGGAGACGATCATTGTGAAATCATAAGAGATGTATAATCCACACAGAATCAAATCTACTAAAATCATTTTCGTTTACAATTTAACAATTGACTTCTTTGACAAATAATTTCTAGGGAATTTAACTTTGATATTGAATACTGTTCTTTATCTCCATATCCTTCATTTATCGATTTTTATTTTAAAACTATCATTTCACTGAAATATTACACAAAATGACGCGTATCATGCTTGAAACAGTTAACGTGTTTGCAATTTTCATGTCGATTGTGTAATTCTCATCATAATTATGTGTGTTTATCTGGTTGATTTTTCAAAAAATGTTATCTCACTTAATAATCTGAATCATGACAGCTTAATCACACAATGATGACGATGGAATACAGTTTCAATTACATAAAAAAAATAGATGATGAATTGTGTTGAATTTATTTGTTATGTCAATAAGAAATATGGCAATATCAATAACCGCATAACGGTTTTATGTAAAGAGCTGTTACATAATTTTCGAACTTTTGTACTTAAAAATATACATATGTTCCAGTGAAATGTTTTCACACACTGTGTTATAAGACCGCTCACCCTGACAGGGGGTTGATTGAGGCCCACCCTGGAGACGTGGATCTCGTAGTTCTTCCTGTAACCATGCTCATCAAAGGCCACTGGACCGGTCAGCCCGGAAAACTCGGCCTGTAGATATGTGTTCTATTAGATACATGTATGTATAAAATCGGGAAAATATTATGCTTTACAGTAATTGTCGAATAAAAACGGAATAAATTATCAAATTCATTTCAAATTCTCACTTGATTCATGGGAAGAGGTATATTTGTTAAAATAATTATTATTTATCAAATTGATGGCAAATACAAAATGTTTCAAAAGAAATAATTCTTAGCAACAATACTAAAAAAATTTTGACTATCTGAGTGTTAAAAATTGAATTTCGTTTTTTTTTTTAAATGTTGTTTTAAAAAAAAATTAAAGGAGTTAATATTTTGTCAAATCTTCAAAAAGCATCCTTAATAATAAAACTATTCGACAAATAAGCAGGTTATGCAATTTTTCCTCAACAAGACTGCTTCTTGTAATACATTAAAGAAAGCAAAGCTTTATATTGAAAAAAGTCTTTGTTTACCGATTTAAGTTCTTTTAAGATGGTTTCGCCATGCTGCCAAGGAATAAAGCCATGTTCTTTGTTGAAGCACTGAATACCTTTGAGAATAACATCGCCATAAAAATTGTACATTTCAGTTCTTCGAAAGTTCGCTTGAAAAACCTGCTGGTTTTGAACCATCATTCTCATAAAGGTTGTTGTGATGAGTTCCATTGCATCAACTGCAAGAGCTGCCTCTGACTACAAATTATTAGGAAACCGTATTTATCATAGAAATATGTCTCATTTCGTGACAAAAATGACATTGCTGAAAAATCGCATTAATAATGAAAATATCAGTTTCGCAAATTTTAAACCAAATTTTTAAATCCTTGTTAAAAAAAAAAAAAAAAAAAAAAAAAAAAAAAAAAAAAAAAAGCGCGAATTTTTTTGGAATTCATTCCAAAGAAGTTAATACAAATATTACTAAAATATAGTATAGTATATGATAAAACAGGTACAAGCAATATTGTATTATGTTGAATTGTTTCAGAATTGGATATGTACAACAAATTGAAACAGCAACCACAAAGACAGAGATAAATCTCTGAAAAAGGAAGAGGAATACTCAATCAATGGCGGCGGGCACATCTGGCATTTGTCTTGATCAAGTAAACAGAATGACCCGTAGACTATTCGGAATGGATTAATTTTGAAATTTAATTCTGTCAACTTTTCAAATACACGTAATTTTGCACTTGCGTATAATGTTATCGTATCAATCATAAACTCTGAAAAGTATATTTAAACGAGATTGTTGATACTTTTGTACATGTAACATCAAATTGTTTGTCAGCAGCCTCCTTAAATATTGTTCATACTCAGAATATGCTCTGGCATATCGAATAAACTAAAGTCATAAACACTTTTTGCAGGTGGAAATAGTATTTATGATTTCAAGAATAAGGGAAAATCACAACAGAAGAAAGGAAGCCATTACGTTTATCATAAGTTGTAAATTTGTCATCATTATCTTTCTTTAAATATAGTACAGATATACTCGTAGAAACAGATGTATCGGGCTCTGGCCTATTCACGTGATAGTATTTTAAAAATAACTAAGAAAAGTTGATGATGAAAAAACTGAAGTGATCGTTTGTAACACAATTCTTTTGTACATAGGTTGTCCTTATCGAAGACAGTAAAACTTCCAAATGTGGAACAGTTGTGACTGACTCTGCTGTATCCTGTATTTCAAGTTAACTTTTTTTATATTGAGTCGATATGAATGTAAGTTAATATTGTTGATTGATAAATCTAAATCTCGAATTGAAGTTTAAGGTCACAGCAAGTAATTTTCTTCTCCTTATGTAGATTTTTTTAAAAATAAATTTTGTTTCATTCGAACATTGGAAAAGTCAGTTAAAGGAACTCAAATAGTTCAACCATTGGAATTCCAATAGTTTGTTAGAAGACCTGGTTTCCAAAGTCTACATAATTGTTTCTAATAGAGGGACTTCGGCTTCAAAGTAGTTATAATGTTGATGAACAGTCACAAGATATGAAAATTTCTAGTTTGGAATTTATCGTCAGGACTAAATGTATAAATCAAAAAATTGAAAAATAATGTACTTATCTCGGAGTGCTCATTACTTAAGTCTTGTACATGTACAAGCAATCAAAAAAAAGAAACACAGAAAGTAATCTTTTAGGAAAATATCGATTATGGTCAAAATCTTGTAGATGAAAGGTGCCTACAGATGTATCAAATTTGAGAAATAAATTCCTTTAATGGTGCTTTATAACTTTAGTTTGGTCAAATAAGGTGTTTCGGGTCATATTTTGTAGGTAAACAAGACGAAAACCCCATTTTAAACTGTCATTTCTAACGAAAAATTTAAGAACAACCAGTCAGGAATTTGGGAGTTTTTTCCACACCAGACAAAGAAAATGTATCCAGATTGCCTACAGTCCTTCAGAATACGGTATTGTTTGTGGTCTTAGTCTCTTCTTTTAAATACTCTCAAATTTAATATAGGTATCGAGACTACTTCTCGTTTGATTTCAAATTGAATGCCATGAAAATACCCTATTTTCTATATAATTCTGCTAAAGCTGTAAAGTACGGGAAAAGAAAATTGAAATTTATTATGAGAAGAAACACGCACCAAAAAATAGTCTAAAGTCAAAAATATCTTGATTAAAAGTTTATATAATTTAAGTTTTTGTGCCTGAATATACCATGAGAGGTTGTCCTGCTGCCGGATAAATGATTTGATTGGCTGTCCTCCACTTCCGCAAGAAAGCTTTCACCTTCGCTTCCTCTGGATTTACTAAATCAAACCCCGTCACATTCACTCCGCCGTGTACAAAATGTTCAAAATTAAGCTTAGAGAAATCCTTAAAGAAGAAAGAAAAGTAAAGATTAACAAATGCAATAATTTTTATATATTGTTAAAGAAAATAAAATTGCCATAAACGGAATAATATTTCATACATACCATCGTGGCAAATAAAAAGAAATAGCCCTCTTTATTCATTCCTACTTCTGCTAGCTAAAGGAAAAGTGAAAAGACAGCTATTTGATTATTTGATAAAAATTCAAGATCATGAAATCATAAAATCTCTGTTTTGGTCATGTAAATTGCAAAAAATTTCTTCGTATAATTAGGTGTTGTAATTTAACATGATTTCATATTCAATATGTATGTTCAAATTTGATCAAAACCGTGTTATGTAACATTTAAAACTTATCATTAATAATTAGGAAACAATAAGTTTTTTTTTTAAAAATTCTTGTCATGTTCAAAAAAACAGAGAAACTAAAAATCAAAAAACCATACAGAATTCAAACACAAATCTAAAACTCAAAATAACACAAAATCCTTTGATATTTTTTGCTTCAAGTGCGATTCACATACAAATTGTATTATGATTCGTTAATCATAAAAATGTATATAAACAGAAATCAGTAATTGCATACAAACCAGGCAAAGTCATCCCAATATTAACATGATTTTATCCATGAAACTAACTTCATTTCATAACTAATTTTAGTCCTGATTCAGAACTTCAGGTAATCAAAACTCATAGTTTACAAGACAGCATGCAACAAAAAACAGAAGAGGAATCAATATTTTTGTACTTTGTAGGTTAGTGGTGGTGATGACAATACCGCAAAAACTTGGTTTTAGAAAGTGAAATAAAGAACATAATTATCAGCAAAATATACCATACCATAATTATATCTACAGAGGATACAAGGTCCCTATATCAGTGGTAAAATACTGAGACTTAAAAGAAAACAATAAAATAAAATTACATATAGGTACAAAAAATGTATTTTCATAGGGTAAAAACATTTACTTAACTATATATGAGAAACCTGGAAAATATAAGGGAGATGAAGTTCTTGCTCTGACCGGCTGTCTGTTTGTCTTCGAAAACTTTCATCGTGGCCATAAATTTTGAACGGTTTGTGCTAAGCAATTCATTTTGATATGTTTATTATTTCTTTAGATGGCAAAATTTTGATATCATGACTTTGACAAAGGCGTTTGAGAGACTGTTAAAACTTTAAATGTAAAACGAACAGATAAATTGAAAAAAATCTACAATCAATTAAAAAAATTTAAAAAAAAAAAAAATAATGATAAAAATAATAGTAATAAAAAAAAATAATAAAAAATAAAACGCGGACCCATGGAAATTCTAGAGCCATACAGTATCGATATTTCAAGAACACATCCTGTTACCATCTAGATTCGGGTGGATATATGTTTAAGGCCCGTATGAACCCTTGGACACTGGGTTAATACTTATATCGTTATATAAACTCGTAACTATAGGGATTTTTTTATGAATGTCCCCTCGCAATGTTTATGCCAATAATTATGTTAGATAAATTTTTCCTTATCAAGGAATTCTGGCTTGGTAGTGCCCCCAACTGTAAAAAATTTGGTTATACCCCTACCAAACTGAAATTATTTCTAGGCACAGCATATGATTGTTTTTTTGTTTTTATAATATCTTTACAGCTATTTCATATGCATAATACTCTCTACAACTTTTTATTTCAATTAAAATAACATTTAACTATGACAGAGAGTTAGCAATACAAATAAGAACAAAGCTTAAAAACATTTATAAAAAATTAATTCAACTATTTAAATTAAAATATTAATGAGAGTTTGTAACTTCATTTTATTTAATATGTACCCAATCTCTGGTGTTAATAATAAACTCGACGATAATATCAAAACTTCTCTTTCATATTTTTGGTTTCTGGAGAAAGTTATTGTATTCAAACGCTATCAATCATTAGAAATAAATCACTAAGGCTTCTGAGAAAAGGGTGGCATCTCTGAGTATAAGGATATTACCTGTTTCATGATTAATTCATAGGCTTCTTGGGAAGACAAATCGAATATGATGTTCCGGATGTCAGCATCGCCATACCTAAACGTGATTGAATCTATAAATCTGAGTTGTTCGTGCGCTTGGTTCACGTCATATAGACGTATTGCCAACATTGTCTCCTTATTTGACATGTCTTCATAAAAGGCACTCATAACTTCATTGAATCGTTGTAATCCTGGAACAAAAATTCAAATCAAATAAATGTTTTCTGTAGTATTTTTTTGAAAACTTATAAACTCATAAATATTGCAATTCATAGGTTCAATTTGAAATACAAATTACCTGATTTAATATGTTATGCTTACAATAAAAGCATTCGATGGCATTCGATGAGAAAATTCATTTTTGAATTTGTTACGAGCTACACATGTACAACATGCATACAAAATTGAAAGTGGATATTATACTTCAAATAAAATAGTGCATGAGTATCAAACTGGCGCAGAAATATGTGAGCAAAGATTTATTTCTAACCATATCTTGCACAGAGGAATAATCTATATAATTATTTTAAATAAACGGACTGAAAAACTGAGATCTCTGTGTGAAGTCCTAGTTTATTAGATAATTTAGGGAGAATATTGTGTTCCGTGCATAACGATGTAAAATACAGATATGACAACTGGCGTATTTGTCAGAAATCTAATTGATAGAAATATGACTAAACCGAGGCAAGAGAGGCTAGAAACCTCATACATTCCGAGAGCCGTTCCTGTAATTTGATTTCAATGTATTTTTTGCTGCGTTACACTTCGAAGCGTGGCAATTGTTCGAACGGTAGACTAGTCTTAAATTACATCTTGTAATTTGCATCCCCTACTATTTGACAAATGATATAGAAGTACTGTTGAAAGGCGAGATTTTATTTTCGACTACTGCTTGTACAAGAGTGATAATGATTTAGAAATATTTTATCTCTGTGTTTGTAATCACTATGTTTCCCCGACATGACGAATTGCCGACAGCGATGTGAGAACTATTTAAATCAATGAGGTGAGAAGTATAGGCAGTATGGAAACATTTAGCATTTTGTTATCAAACATATCCTAAATCCACTGTACAGGACTTTTAAAAGAGCCAAATAAATAAACAGTAAATAGTAAATAAATATGTAGAAGAATTTAAAATATAAACATCTAAAAATATATATATATATATATATATATATATATATATATATATATATATATATATATATATATATATATATATATATACTCACCTTCTGTGGAATCGTACAAGTATATCATATTCCTCCATCTATAATGACGAATCATGTCGACAATCGCCATGGTGAAAGGGGGTTTCATATGAATCTGGAAATTCTTCTCAGGGATTGACGACTTTTGTTAAACAAGGACAGACATAGGGAACGTGGAATTGTCTGGTAAAGGACTCTATAGTCTCCGCAGACTTTGTGTCCTTCGAACCAAAAAACAGAAATACACCGGTTGCCATCTGATCACAGACTGCAAAAACGATATGTAAAGATTATATTATACATGGTAGATGGTAATCATTTTTTGAATTGAAAAAAAAAATGTACATGTATATCATTATTTTCAATATTTGTCAACAATTTCCATTTTGTGTAAGTTTCATGTCTCACTGTTTAAAATGCAGAAAGTTTTAGTTGTAACAGTTGTTCTCTTTCTCTCTCTCACGCTCTCTCTCTCTCTCCCAGATTGACGTGTATTTGTGAAAAAAAAAACATTACAGTAATCTTACAAAAAACCGGGTGTTTAATCTTCGCTCTTTTAAATTTTAATGAAACCTGAAGCACTTCTCATCTGTATTCTGTATTGAGGTTTATGAACAGTTTTGTTTAAGTACAAATCTTTTCTCCTAATGGTCTTTGATGCTATATAGGGATTTCCTTGGGGTCTTGGTGTAGCGATTGAACAAGTCCCATCAGATTTTTCAGTTAGAGACATAATCTTTTTTAAAAGACGTATATTGGTTTCATCCAGCGTTTTAATTTCTTTTCTGCCAGTTTTCACATAAAATTATCGGAGGATGCAGAATTTAAGATATGCTCTGTAACAAATTACAAAGAGAATTCTTTATAATCGGTGAAATCTGTACTTAGGGACATTTATTTTCTTATAAGCTGTATGTTATTGAATTAATTGTGGAAATAGCGTTAAAGTATTAATTTCTCCCAGAGCATCAAAGTATAGAAATAGAAAAGCGCGGAACTTCGAACTCAGTTCTATTTGCCCATTTCTTAACATGCCTAGAAATAAACTTCAGACAGTGAAGAGTTAAGGCATGTAAAAATCCCGATTTTGTACATGCTAAGAATATGCACGCAAACGCGATTACTTTGTATAAAAACACATTCTCGGTGCAAAGAAAAGGAGATCTGTCTTTTGTAAATGCCGCTATCCTGTTTGACTGGCAGTGTTTAACTTGATCACGCAAACCTTCTGTGACAAATGCTTTTGTACACGAAAGTGTTTGGCAACTTTTAAAATGTATCTGCAAAACGGGGTATAAATGATAAAGAGATATGTCACTCTACTTGTCATATTCATTTGAATTATTCTAAAAAATGAATTGCATGTTTTCCAAAAACAGGTCCAACTGAAAATTACTGGGGTAGAATAAATGATTGCATACATGGTTAAAATGGTATATACCATTTATCATATCTACACACTGAATTGACGACGGATTTTCCTGTTATTTCAGAACCATGACAAGAGACACACGGCGGGTGTGACCGGTTGGCAGGAGAAGCTCACTCCTCCATAGCAACTGATCCCACTTCTGATGTTTTGGAGCTCCGTGTTTGCTCTACTCCTGTTTTGTATTGTTTAATGGATTTTTGGGCTAGAATACTTTTCGATATCTCCAAATATTTCATCACATTAAATTTTCCTTTTAAAACAAGCATCAATGCTTCTATGTTTAAAAAGGCATAAAAATATCTTTTATTCTTAATGTAATTTTAATATGTAATATGTAAGAATATATACATAGTGGGTTCCAGTAAATGCTCAACCAAGCCTCTTTCCTTACTCCTCACTAAGATATTAAAAGTAGTGAAGGAGAAACTTCAAGAGTACTGTGCAACAATATATTCAAAAAGTGGTGTAAATTAGATGATGATACTTAAAAGTTCTTTTGGACAATTTGAAATCAAAAGATTTTACCAAAATCGACAGCTTAAAAACCTAAGACCTTTCAACTTTAGAAACAAGCATTCCCCACGATAAATTTGAAATCCAGGGTTTTTGATATCGTTAACAGCTGCTTTTTCAATAAAAATGGAACTCATAAATTTACTTACCTTGTCATTGGTCATTTTCAAAATTATTTTGTTTAAAACATTCTGATTGTACATACAAGTACTCTGAAGATGACATAAAAAATGCTTGAGTTTCTGATTGATAATATCTATGTTGTTTTTCGAGACCAGGTCTTCCAACAGTTGATTGGATTTCCATGGGTACCTATTGCACCACATTATTAGCAGACCTATTTTTTTTGTTTTCATATGAAGCAGAACTTATCCACAATCTTATGCGTGAAAAGAAGAACATACTTCCTAAGGCCTTCAATTTCAGATATATCGACGATGCATTGTCAATTAACAATGGTTATTTTTCCATTCTTATGCCCGTACGATATATCCCTGGGAGCTTGAGATAAAAAATACCACAGAGTCTGACACTTCTGTTTCATATTTGGATATTTTACTGGAAAAGCACGTTAATGGTAATCTTACAACCAAACTCTATGAGAAATGTGATCACCTTAACACTACAACAGTTAACTTCCCTGACTTATACGCAGTAATATAACTTTATCACCTGCATAAGGAGTTTATATATCTCAGTTGATTCGATACGCAAGAGCACGCTCTACATATGAACAATTTCTAAAACGAGGTAAATTATTGACAAACAAGTTGATGAAACAATAGTATCAGCATTCTCATTTAAAGTCGCATTTTGTTAGTTCTATGTCGATTAAATGACTTTGTCATCAAATACAATTTATCATGGAATCAAATGCTGACTGGCGTTTTTCATACAAATTTTAGTCCATTATTTATAGACTGAATTGGGGACGGATTTTCCCGTTATTTCCCGACCATGACAAGAAGCAGACGGCAGGCGTGACCGGTCAGCAGGGGAAATCCACTCCTCCATTTCACCTGATCCCACCTCTGATGTTTTGGAGGTCCGTGTTTGCTCCTCTCCTATTTTGTATTCTTTTATGGTCTTTTGATCTTGAATACTGTTCGTTATTTCCATATGTTTCATGTTATAAGCAACTGAACAACACTATTTATCAAATTCGATTCATTAGCTGCAAATCAAGTTCAAGATTATGTTTCTTAACTACTGCTCTCCTTTTGATGCAATCTTCCACTCGCACTCCTTATGAAAGATATGGAGAACCCGAACAATATTCAAGCTCAAGCTTGAAGAGTCCATTAAACAATACAAATCTTTGCAACAAATATTTATGATTTATTAGCCCTGGTTATCTGTATAAAATGTTTATTCCATAATTTATGGAATAAATATTCCTCACTCAATCCCCGAAAAGTTTCTCACAATATCATAATTAAAACACTCCTCATCATAACACTTACGCGAATCAGCTAAAGAACAACTGTTTCTGGTATTGGTGATGTTTTCCAACAGCTGCAATTTAAATTTGAAATCTTTGGCGTTGAAATTGGCAAATTCAAATTTAAATGCTGAACGTGGTTGTTGATCTGCATATCCATAGATAGTACCTAGACATCGAATAAAGTAATAAAAGAAAAAAGACACCTAGTGCCGACAAAAACCATGCAAAAAGCATTCATAATTCACATAATTATATTCTTTCTGTTTTATTGTTGTTAGTCCTTGTCTTTATCTACAACACCTTTCGAAGCTGTCACAGACTAAAATGATTTTTTTAATGAAGAAAAATACATATAAGCATACCTACGGGAAGTTTCAGTTTCACAGATGGTTCCTCTCGCTGCTCTCTTTTGGCACGAAACAATTCAGGTCCCCATGCACAACCTATGTAAACACAGAGTATCAGCTTTATAAATCTTAAATGCACAGAAGCAAATAGGAATAAGTTAACTTCAAAATTCCCTTATTTCTTCTTACAAGTTTAAAAATTCACTCAAATTATTTTAAGTAATAATCAAATTTTAAAAAAATAATAATATTGTTCTGATGTGTTTCAGTATTCGTTTTTCGATTATATTAACCATCGTAATATTCTGATGTGTAATTTTTTTCAATCATTATATCAACTATCGTCCAAAATCAAACTTCACTCATGGCTATCACGGTAAATCTTATCAAAGATAACTACATTTAAGTACCGAGTATATGCAATTTTAGCGGTGAAATCCTAAACATTTTTTGTAGAATGTCTTTAAATCACCCGTGAATATTGACTGCTGGGGAAGACAAACTTTTTGTTCTTCAGAAAATCAGCAATTCCTTTGAGAGTTTCCCTTTCATCTTTCCCAACATGCCCAGTAATCTTACATTACATCTCTAACGAACAGGCAGTTGTGTTCCTAACATTAAATTAAGGACATGTGGCTCTCACTGATAGACAAGGCAAGAATTCCATCCTTCTAAATAACTGTTCCATATGTAGGTTTGCTTATTGTCACTTAATATTAACTAAATAGTAACTTTCGAGGCGACTGAACTCATCCAAGTGGATATGAACAGAATTCAGGTTATGACAAGGAATTTGGTTATTTTAGCATGTTTTACATATTAAGGAAAATTGCCATTCAGTTTTATCTTACATATTGAAACAATATAAAAGAATTTTCTGAAGACTAGCAATGCCATGTCTTCATGTAACAAAATATGTTTTATCGAGGTAGAAAGGGCAATTCTATATATTATTTCTATATAATAGTACACTAGATAGAGTGGTTTTTTCCATTCTGTTTGCAAAAAAGGTCAAAGGAACATTTCCATTTACTGGAAACCCGTGAAAATGTTTTGTGTCTTTATCAAAATATGACACAAAGCAAATGTGTTTATTTGCCAATTTTCATGAGTCTAAAAATCATGTCATCTTTTTGGACTTTTACTAGGTTTCTTCACTGGTTTCTTCACTGTTTTGTTCACATGGGTAGAAGTTGAGGAACTAATGTACGTTTTAAAGAGGACAAACCTACGTGTACATAAGTAAAGAGTTCTCCTTGTCTTTGTCATGTAGATAAGTAACAGAGAGACACGGCAGAAAATTTACTGATCTGTTAAGATAATTTGGCTAATAAGCATCAATCATCTCAGATCAATGCAGGTGTCTGATCCATGGGCTTCTTGCCATGTTGGTAAATTCAGGCCAAATTTAGCTCGTAAAATAAGAGCAATTCTCTGTGGTTATGTTTTTCTTGCATGTCCAGAAGGAGTTAAATTTAGTTGAATAGGTGATGAGCAGATAGCATGCTCTTTACTTATTCATTTAAATTTAATATGTGATGAGATTTTAAGTCAAAATAATCAGCACATCTGTTTGGATACATTTTTTAGAATAGATAATTGTAATCTAATTTGACATAGAAACGACTTAATGGAATATCTAAAAGGTAAGTTAAGTAATGCCCTCATTAGGTATACTCATAAAAAGTGTTTCTGCATATTTTAAGAATAAAACCATTATTTGATCTAAGAGTTGCTTGCTTAAGTTATTGATAAATACCAGTCATTTTCTTACTTAGAACAGAATAGTACTATTGAGACCATTCATTGCCTGACTAAAGCCACTAGGAACAAGCTTTGTTGCCTAAGTGTTGTTGTAATAGGTCTTTGACACTCATTGGATAATACACATTGATGTTAAAGTACCGTTATCCCAAATATTTCTTATTTGCATTTCCTCCGGAAAGAAGTATAGATTTTCCTCAGCCAAATATGTTTATTCAAAAGAAAACCGTACAGATCATATAATGGCGAATATTACTAGTGTTCTGTTCGCTGTTTTATGTCCTACTCCTCAAAAACCGAGATCCAATATCTGAGTATCAGGAAGGCACAGATGTGTACGGTGAATGGGATATGAAATAACGTGTTGAATTAAGCGTTAATTGTCCGCAATAACAAAATTTCCCACAGAAATGGAAATATGCAATTAAAAATATCAACGGTCTGAATAAGTTGGTAATTATAGTACATAATTCCACTACCTTTTCAATCGCATGATAATTATTACAAATTCTTTCTTTGAACAAGCTTTTTAAGAAACCTTATTTTTTAATATGCAATATCTAAAATATATACTTTTTGAGAAAAAAAAACCCAACAGAACCGTAAATTTAGAAATTGTTTGTAAATATTACAAAGAGTTGAACAAATTAGGAGTAAGGAATGAAATACGATAAAAAGAAATTATACTCACCTTTCTGGTGACTGTTTGATGATGATTTGATGATGACAAGCGATGATAAGACAATGACCGTAACAACAGTTGTACATTGTTCTCTCATCATTGTCAGCTAATGTACTAATGATCTCCCATCCACACAGTATGTAAGTTAAAAGAATGTTTCACCAACACGTGGTGAGCGGAGTACATACGTCTATTGATCCAGAGGTTTATTCCAATAAATTCGGAGTTTTGTTTCTGAATCTCTATTCACAAGTGAACTTAAACGTCAAATCGACACCCCCAGTGACTTCGGTAATGATTTAATTTTGCGCTATTTCCATCGTACCAGCGTATGGAAATCTTTCTATCTTATAGGGTTATATTATTTGAGAATTTCCTTCAATTATTTCCTATTGATTAAAAATCCTTTCGTCTCTGTTATTATGGAGATTTTGAATACTTTCAATCTTTTTGCAGCATTTCTCAGGGGGACTATTTCAGAAGGCGGCACGTGCTTTTGCCCAAACTAGAATCGGAAATAGACTGTGATATTGAATTGACGGTTCTTAACTTGTAGCCCGATCTCCACTGGGACCCTCCTTTGCGTGATTGTTGCTTACAGTAGTTCATATTTCTCTTACGGTCTTATGTTGAGCAGAGTTTTATTAAAACTTCCGTTAATATACTTCCCCAGAATGTTTTTTTCTGCAGATTTGTATCTGCGTTTTTACATCCCGGGGGAGAGGGGGTGTACATGTTATCCCTGTTTATTTATGAATAGGAACGGAAATGACATTTCTCCCCTTTTTCAGTTGCTGGTAGAAGTAAGCTGAATTACCGAAACTAACCCGATAGCAAATATGGAATACACTCTAATAAAATTCTCTTTTCCCTTTTTGAAAATGCATCAATGTGTCATATTGATAATTTAGTCAGCATAGGAATAAAAACTCACAAAATACCCGTCTAACTTGAGAAAAAATCAAAATCTTCGTTAAGAGAAAATTTTCATACAGTTGTATTTATACCGGTAGAAGAAAAGTTAACTTCGTTAAAAGATCGCCGAAATGGAAGACATAATCACAAAATCTTTTTTTTTCCTTTATCATTTAAGATCTCTTTAAGTATGAGATTGTTTTCTTATTGAAACAAGACATCATTTTTACCAATGGATCTTTTTTCTAATTTTGTCACCAAGGAAACAAAAAAAGCTTTACAATTCTTGAGTTCAATACCAGGCAGATATAATTTTGTATAGTAAATGGAACTCTCAAATTTTCCTATCTTATCTTAGGTCAACCTTATTTTGTTGAGTTACTTCAGATGTAATCTAAGGTTAATGTTAAAGATAATGGAATTTCCTTAGGGTACCAATAGCGCTCCGTTATAAGCAGTCCTATTTTTTGTATTCATATGAAGCAGAATTTTTTCAAAATCTTTTACATGAAAAGATGAAAATACTTGCTGTGGCCTTCAACTCGACATTTAGATATATCGACGGCGTATTGTCAGTTAACAATGGTTATTTCCATTCTTATGTCGATGCGAATCATGCGATATATCCCGGTGAGCTTGAAGTAAAGAAAAACCCAAAGAGTCTGAAATATTTGTTTCATAATTGAATCATACTACAAAAAGACTTAATGGTTATCTAACAACCAAGCTTTACGATAAATGTAATGATTTAACTTTTCAATCGTCAACTTCCCTTACTAACGCAGCAATATCCCTTTGTTACCTGCACCTGATTTTATATCTCTCAGTCGATTCGATACGGAAGAACATGTTCTAAGTATGACCACTTTCTAATACAGAGTAAGTTATTGATAAACAAGTTGATGAAGCAAAAATAAAAACAGTCTCGTTCAAACGCGTCATTTCCGAAGCTCTATGGTCGATACAATGACCTTGTCGCAAAAACAATTTATCATTAAGTCAAAAGCTCCCTGACTTTTTTCATTCTGATTGTTAGGCCATTATTTACACACAAATTGTCCATGGGTTTTTCTGGATTTATTTTTCGTACATGACAAGGAGCACACTACGGGTGTGACCGGTTTGCAGGGGATTCTCACTCCTCCATGTCACCTGATACACCTATGGTCTTTCGGAGGTCTGTGCTTGCTCTGGTCCCATTTTGCATTGCTTAGTGGATTTTTGAGCTTGAATGCTGTTCGTTATCTTCATATATTTCATGTTTGAATGCTTCATTGATATTTATCAACTAATGCAGTCTTTCAATACCGGGTTATCCAAGAATGTGTTCGATTTCCATGAGTTCTTAATGTGAATTGAGCATTTTACCTAAATGGAATAGTCGACACATCCCCTATACTTTGTTATGTGCAATTAATGATCAGTTAAATTTTTCTTTATACTAAAACTGAAAACAAAGTCGCATAATATACAATTCATCGTCAAATCAAATGGAAATGAGATTTTGAACATGGGGCATTAGAATATCCTGTATGGAAGATCATTCTTTTAAGTGCGTAGAATTAGAAAGACATTGTAGTGGCACCGATAGAGTTCAGAACATTTGTTTACTATCTATTCTTTTAGTGTTATATAACCATTTTTGGAGTGTGTGTAGCGGTGTTTGGTAAAATAATGTTGAATATGTTTATATATCATGATGGACAAAAGTTTGGTCTAATGATGTAGAAAACCCGTGAATAAGCAAGTAACTTTAATTTAGTCTTTCTTGAATAGTCCTCAATCCAATTTACACTCTACTGCTTAACTGAGTTCCTTTTTTCCCTTTTCTGGTGGATTCTGCACACAGGCAAAAACCTATAAGTAGCAAAACTATTTCACAACATTCAACTTTCTATTGATGGTTCCTATCAGAAACTGATTTTAATTGTTTAAATTATTACAATTAAACCACCTGCAAGAATTTTGTCCAGACCTGTCCGTGAATAATTAGTTTTATGTCCAAGATTAATTATTTTGCACAAGAATGGTACGAGGGTATTAATCTTTCAAAGTTTTCTGTTCCTGTGTGTCTGAAATAGATGAATGACTTTTACTATTAAATTAAGGAAAACATGAACAAATACGGCCAGAGCGGATTCGCAATTATCAACAGCAAAAATGAAGACAGAAAAATAACTGGAAAATCTTTCTGTAACATGAAATAATTGTGATAAAATTCACCGTCGTTGTACGCATTCCAAGTCAGAGCATTTATTCGGAACAATGAAGAAGCCTTTATTCCGAAAACCCATTATGACGCTGGAACATTTTTTAATAACACTTAGATTTGCAAAATCACATTTACATGGGAAAGTTTCTGAATATTGTTTGTCACAGACAGTCGTTTTTCATTACTTTCCCTTCAATTATTGCCAGTCAATATATGGAAAATGAATTCGCTTATCGCTATAGAAAGCCAAAATAGTTACTGTACTCTCTGTGCTACAAGTATATTTATGAAGGCAATATCTTGATCAGTATAAAAACAGCATTGTCCTAGATTTATTCTTTTTATTTCTTTTGCATGAATTTGCTGAACAATTTTATCTATATAGTGCGAAAATGTATCTTTGGAATAAAAAAAAGGATACAGTATATCATAGCATCATCCTGGTTCCTTTTGATTCCTGGTGGAACAGAGGGTCTTCAGTAGCAGTCCTCCATCGCACTCTGTTTTAAACAACATTTTTAAATTGTTCCCAGCAATGTCCACACTGTCTGATTTCCTTTTGCATGACCTTCGCCAAGTTGACCTGTGACGCCCAACTCAACGTTTGCCTTGGGGGTTCCCCTCGAGTGCATGGCTTGTAATGTCTCCCGATGGTTTTTGGAGGGTATGCCCAATCCCCCGCCACTTTCTACGGGCTATTTGCCGAGTGATTCGGTCTTGGTATGTTCTTTCCATAGGTTGTTTTATTTTCTGGCCACCTGATGTTTAGTATGTGGCGCATCATATATGATTTACTAGTATCAATTAAACACTACCAGTGATCACAGAAGCCTCTTGGCATCAGGAACTTGCACTACACCTTTGTCATAGAGCAAACTCTTTCGCTGATAGATGTTCCCTAAAAGAATTACAAATTTGCTTCTCTGTTATGGAGAATTATTTTCTGCATATCCAACTTTTCTTTTCCTCTTGCCAGAAGAGTTCTTTTTCACGGACTTAAGCCATTATTGATTAAAAGGCATTGTTTTCTGGTGGAAGGATAGGTGTATACTTATAAGCATAACGATGTTCAACATTCTTTCTGAAAAAATAAAGGTTATTGCTGTTGATTCCTTTAATTTTCGCGAGGGGCTCTTTAATGTCAATTAGCGAGAATGATAATTCGCAAATGGATGGTTTATCAAGATATTTTACATTCAGCACCATAAAAATGAAAGTGAGTAATTTAATTTCGCGTGTGGTGCTTCCTGCGAATTCACGCGACAATTGAATCCACGAGTATATTTAGGAATCTACAGTACATAGAACCCACGGCAGGTGTGACCAGTCAACATGGGATGCTACTCCTCGAATCCTGATCCCACACTAGAATCTTATGGAACGCCAAATTAAAATATATTCAAATATTTGTACCTATCTTCAAATAATTGCACCTATCTTCAAATAATTATACCTAACTTAAAATGAATTGAAGATAGGTACAATTGAATTAAAAAAGGTACAATTGAATTGAAGATAGGTATAAATAATTATACCTATTTCGAAATAATTATACATAGTTACAAATGAATTATACCTATCTTTAATGGAATTATATCTATCTTCAATTCCACTAAAGATAGGTTCAATTGAATTATACCTATCTCTAATTCATTTGAAGATAGGTATAATTAATTTAAAGACAGGTACAATTGATTTGAAGATTGGTTCAATTAAGACATATACACAAAGGATTTGAAGATAGGTACAATTCAATTAAACCTAGGTTCAATTCGTTTTATGATGTTGGTAAATAATGAACGCTCCCTTGGAGACAATATTGAGTATGGAGGGAAAGCACAGAGCCTACAGAGCGACAACAACAGGGATGGAAGGAGAAATGAAAGTTTATTCAAAATGTTCTAAAAGCATCATACACTTATAAAAATACACATATATATCATGTAGGTATATCTTGTATTGCAGCCAGATGAAGATTCCGATCAACTTTCGCGCCAGCTGTGACGTCTCGGAAATGACGTATGAGGGAGTAGTTGTTATTGCCGATATCTTAGTAATTAAAGATAGGT